TGGGCCAAGGACCTAAAAGACATTTTTCAAAGAGGAAATCCAAATGGCCAACAGACACTTGAAAAAATGTTCAGGATCACTAGCCATCAGGGAAATGCAAATCAAAACCACAATGAGGTTTCACCTCACCCCAGTTAGAATGGCTTACATACACAAATCAACTAACAACAAATGCTGGTGAGGATGTAGAGAAAAAGGGACACTAATCCACCGTTGGTGGGAATGCAAACTGGTAAAGCCACTATGGAAGTCAGTTTGGAGATTCTTCAGAAACCTGAATATAGACCTACCATACAGCCTAGCCATCCCACTCCTTGAAATTTACCCAAAGGAAATTAAATTGGCAAATATAAGAGCTGTCTGCACCTCAATGTTTATTACAGCTCAATTCACAATAGCTAAGACATGGAATCAACCTAAATGCTTATCAACAGAAGACTGGATAAAGAAATTATGGGATATGTACTCTATAGAATACTATATAGCAGTAAAAAAAAAATGAAATCCGGTCATTTGCAACAAAAATGGAGGAATCTGGAAAACATCATGCTGAGTGAAATAAGCCAGTCCCAAAGGGACAATATCATATGTTCTCCCTGATCGGTGACAACTAACTGAGCACCTAAAAGGAAACCTGTTGAAGTGAAATGGACACTACGAGAAACAATGTCTTGATCAGCGCTTGTCCTGACTGTCGAGGAACAACTTCCTATTTTACTCCTTTTAGTATTTTTTTGTTCTACTTAATACCATTGGTTGAATTCTTTACTCAACACACAATTATCCTTAGTTGTTAAATTTAACTGAAAAGTGATCCCTGTTAAATATAAGAGTGGGAATAAGAGAGGGAAGAGATGTACAGTTCGGCACATGCTCACTTGGACTTACCCCTAATGGTAGAGCTAGAAACGTGCCAGGGGATTCCAATTCCATCAAGGTGGCATGTACCAATGGCATCTTACTTGTTAAAGTGATCAGTTTAAGTTCATAACTGATCAAAAAGATAGGATTAAGTGTCAAAGGGATTAAATAAACAAGACCAGTGTCTACAAATAATAATTGATTGAATTAAAAGTAGAGAATGATCCTACATGGGAAGCAGGATACACAGCAGACTCATAAAATGGCAAATGTCCTAACAGCACTCTGGCCTCAGAATCAGCCCTTAAGGCGTTCAGATCTGGCTAAAAAGCCCATGAGAGTTTTGCAGGCATGGAAAGCCAAGACACTGTGGCAAAAAAAAAAAAAAAAAAAAAAAAAAAAATGACCTAAATGAAAGATTTCTGTGAGTGAGATCCCAGCGGAAAGAACGGGCCATCAAAGAAGGCAGTACCTTTCTCTGAAGGGAGAAGAGAACTTCCACTTTGAATATGGCCTTGTCTAAATAATATCGAAGTTTATGAACTCAAGAGGCTTCCATAGCCTTGGCAGCTCATGAAAAGAGCCTTGGGTGATTACTGACGTCATAAATAACAGTGTCAATTGTTAAATCAACAACGGGAGTCACTGTGCACCTGCTCCCCATGTGGGATCTCTGTCATTAATGTGTTGTACTATGCGAATTAACAGTAAAACTACTACCCAAACAATTCTCTATACTTTGTGTGTCTTTGTGGGTACAGTCTGTTGAAATCTTTACTTAGTATATACTAAGTTGATCTTCTGTATATAAAAATAATTGAAAGTGAATCGTGATGAAGAATGGGATGGGAGAGGGAGTGGGAGATGGGATGGTTGTGGGTGGGAGGGAGGTTATGGGGGGAAAAGCAGCTATAATCCAAAAGTTGTACTTTGGAAATTTATATTTATTAAATAAAAGTTGAAAAAAACATACGAGTGAATGCATCTACTTCACATTCTTGGGGAAGCCTGAACCACTTCATTACTTTACAAATGCAAATCCAATGCTGACATCCCATACTGACACTTGGTTGGAGTCCCAGCTGCTCTACTTCTGATCCAGCTCCCTGCTAAGGCACCTGGGAAAACAGCAGAAGATGGCTCTGCCACCCATGTGAGAATTCCAGATTTCCATGCTCCTGGCTTCAGTCTGACCCAGCCCTGGCTGTTGTGGCCATCTGGGGAGTGAACCAGCAGATGGACACTCGCTTGATTGCTCTATTGCTCTCTCTCTCCCTCCCTCTCTGTAACTCTTTCAAATACATAAATAAATCTTTTTTATGTATTTGAAAGAGTTACACACAGAGAGGAGGAGAAGCAGAAAGAGAGAGAGAGAGAGAGAGGTATTCCATCTGCTGGTACACTCCCCAGTTGGCCCCAACGGCCCAAGCAGTGCCAATCCGAAGCCAGGAGCCAGAAGCTTCTTCCGGGTCTTCCACGCTGGTGCAGGGGCCCAAGGACTTGGGCCATCTTGTACTGCTTTCCCAGGCCATAGCAGAGAGCTGGATCAGAAGTGGAGCAGTTGGGACTAGAACTGGTGCCAATATGGGATGACAGCACCGCAGGTGGTGGCTCTACCTGCTACACCACAGTGCTGTCCACTAAATAAATAAATCTTTAAAGGCAAATAAAAGAGAAATGCCTACATCCTACATTGGTGCACTGCAGATCATTTCCCAGCTATAGCTCCTGACTCCAGCCTCCTGTCAATCCTGTCAGTGCACACCACGAAGCAGTAGGTGATGGCTCAAGTGGCTTGCTCCCTGCCATCCAGGTGGGAGACTGGATTGAGTTCTCAGCTCCTGGATCCAGCTCCAGTTTCAACCCTGGCCATTACAGCCATTTAGGGAGTGGACCTATAGATGACCTCTGTCTTTCTCTCTGTGTAAATAAATAAATAAATAAATGAAAATATATTTATTTTTTAAAGGAAGTAGGACCAACAATGACAGTTGACCACAACTTTTTTTTTAAAGATTATTATTTTTTTATTTATTTGAGATGCAGAGTGAGAGGGAGAGACAGAGAGATAGGTCTTCCATCCGCTAGTTCACTCCCCCAAAATGGCTGAAACTGCCAGAGTTGGGCCAATCCAAAGGTAGGAGCCAGGAGCTTCTTCCAGGTCTCCCACACGTGTGCAAGGGCCCAAGGACTTGGGCCATCTTCTACTGCTTTCCCAGGATAGAAAGAGGAGTAGCCAGGATTTGAACCATATGGACGCTGGTGCTGCAGGCGGAGGCTTTAGCCCACTGCACCACAGCGCTGGTCCCATGAAAATATATGTATTTAACAATGCAATGTCATGGTATAGTTCTGACGAAACTATGTCTGAGGGCTGTGCATCTGACACGCTAAGTCACTGCTTGGAACACCTCTATCCCATATCAGAGTGCCTGGATTCAAGTTCTGGGTCCACTTCTGATTCCTGCTTCCTGCTGATGTGTACCCCGGCAGATAGCAATGATGGCTGAAGTACTGGGTCCCTGTAACCCACATGGGGGACCTGGATGGAGTCCTGGTTTTCTATTGATGAGAATTAATCCAATGCTCTTGCCACACATTGGATTTCTGGGTTTAAGTAGAGAGTTGAGGTCAAGTTTGGGCTCCTAGGAATGATTTAGTGTCAATTATAAATGCCTATTGGCCTAATCCCCAAGCCTTGGACTGGAAGAGGGGTAACCGGGACAGAATCCGGCACCCCGACCAGGGCTAGAATCCTGTGTGCTGGTGCCACAGGCGGAGGATTAGCCTAGTGAGCCACAGCGCCAGCATAGTCGTTTTGTTTCTTCTTTTTCTTCTTTTTATATTTCCTGAGGACAGGCAGAGTGGACAGTGAGAGAGAGAGACGTCTTCCTTTTGCTGTTGGTTCTCCCCCCAATGGCCGCCGTGGTCGGCGCACTGCGCTGATCCGATGGCAGGAGCCAGGTGCTTCTCCTGGTCTCCCATGGGGTGCAGGGGCCCAAGTCTTGGGCCATCCTCCACTGCACTCCCGGGCCACAGCAGAGAGCTGGCCTGGAAGAGGGGCAACTGGGACAGAATCCGGTGCCCCGACCGGAACTACAACCCGGACAATTAGCCTAGTGAGCCGCGGCGCCGGCCCGCAGCATAGGTCTTAAGCAAGATAGTTGGCTGTAGGAACAAGCAAGCCCTGAGTCAGAGTCAGTTTTTTAAACATAAGGAAGCATTCCTAAAGAACTCCATTGAACAGTTCAGGTTAAGATACTCAGTTGGATGGACTTAATGTAGTCCAGAGAATCAGGCATTTATTAGTCTATTTTGTGTTATTAAAAACAAACAAACAAAAAACCTGATGCTGGAGAGCATATAAAGATGAGATTTATGGGCAGGCATTTCGCCTAGTGTTTAAAGCAGCAGTTATCTATATCCCACAAGAGAGTACCTGGGTTTGATTCCTGGCTCTGGTTCCTGATTCCAGCTTCCTGCTAATGCAGATCTTGGGAGGCAGCGATGAGGATTCAAGTTAGTTGGGTTCCTGCCACTATGTGGGAGACCTGAATTGGAATGAGTTCCTGGCCCCTGGCTTCAGCCAGTTCCGGTCCCGGCTGTGTCAGTATTTGGAGAGTGAACCATTGGATGGGAAGATTTTGGTCGCTGTTTTCTGCCTTTCAATTAAATGACATTTAAAAAATTATTCGTGACTCCAAATTTTTCCCATGTCTGTCTATATTTGTTTTATTGCCATTTGCTCAAGTTGTTTACCATTTTCAATACGGACCTTATAATTTTCTAATTTGTAAGAGCTCTTTGTATATCAGTCCTTTATAATTTGTTTTGCGGACTTTCCTCCTAGATTTCCCACTGACTGCTTTTTTTTTTTTTTAACGCCAACCCTAATCTACGAACAAGGTGACGTATGAGCTGACTCCTGTAATCACTTGAAGTTAGCTAAATGACAAGGCAAAAGGTCAGGGCAACAGGCGAGCACAGCGCCTGTTTCTTTTCTTTCTAAAATAAAAACAATTCGATTACGCAAACCCCGGACCCCGTCCCGCCTTTCCTGAACCTTGATCTACCTCCAGCTACCAGTCTTTCCGCCCAGCGCTTGGCGCGTTTGTCTGACGTCATGTGTGCGCCGTAGAGTTGGCCGCGCAACTTCCGCGGCCGCCTACCTGGCGCGCAGATGCGAAAGTTCTCGCGGCGCCGGAAGTCCCTGCCACGTGACCGGGTGACAGCGCTCGCCTGGCTGCAGGGCTGGCTTAGGTGCTGCGGCACGGGATGGCGGAGGCGCCTCCTGTCTCAGGTACTGTCCTGGCCCACGCGGGTCTGGGGTCCCTCTCAGGGAGAGGAAATTGGGTCAGTGACGAAGTCCTAGGGCTCCAGCTAGTCATATCGCGAGAGTGGCGCGTGGTGGGGTTGGGGATAGTGGCTCGGAAGGGCCAAGCCACGCGCGTCCTGCGTATGGCGAGCTCCACCATCTTCGACTGGCTGGTGAAGCCCAGTAACTGGGTTTCCGAGCAAAGGCGGCCTATCCTGGCGCCCAGTGAGTCCATATGAGTGTCCCGCCCTGCCACAGGGCGCATTCTGGCCTGCTGGGGCAGCCTCGCCCCGAGCTCCGAGGGCGGGCGTCAGTGGAGCCCGCGCACGTGCCGGTGGCGGGCTCTAGACGCCTAGCGGGTTTGCACGCGTTCTTAGGGTGTGTTCATCTCTTAGAGTGGTGGCGCGGGCGCGAGCCGAACTCCAGTAGTTAAAAATCTCAGCCTGCCAGAAACTCTGTGTGCCCGAGTCCACGTTTCCTCCTCCGTCAGCTGAGAGTCAATAGGTTAATTCCTGTGAAGGCGCCCGCCCTGTACTGTCCCTGTTCCATAACTTAGCTCATTTCCCCTCCTGGAATTGCCTCTGCATGTAGAGACAGATGTTAGCAGATGTTAACTGAGAGTAGAACATCCATAGGGTGAACTGTGTATCAGCCGTTTCCGAACATTTATTGGACAGCAATCAAAATTTGCATCACCGCCTCAGTGCACACTTCACGTAACTATAAAAGTGAGCCAGAAGTTTCAGGAAGCAAAGGTTTCCTTTACTATCCGCAGTATACTCTGTTTTCTGTTTGTTTTTAAAAAGTGCTTGTCACAACCCACTACGGTGATTTTATTTCATGAGCCAACTGTTTCTGACAAACAGACCAGCAGTTTCCAGCATGGGGTTTGGAAACGTTTGTTGGTTTGAGTCTTAGTTCTACCAGCCAGCTATTTGGGGCACCAAGACCATAAAAGTGTGTATGAGGTGGCAAGTAAAATGCATTTAATATTGGGGACCTTAGTGTAGAAAGTTGGAACACTCACTGCATTGTTGTGCCCTAATCCTCACTTGGGCATAAGTCGGTTTGGCTGGTGTTACATTGTTCCTCGCACCCAGCCCTTCACCAAGCCTCTGGATTGGGGCCATTGATCTTCCGTCCCCTAGGCTCACTTCTCATCCGTGTCCGTACCCTTCAGTGTTTGAAGCAGAATTGCGTAGGGGCCAGTTGTGAGTCAAAAGGTTGGCCCCTGGGGTTGCGTCCAGGTTATCACGGGGTCATTGCATTACCCCATAATGGTATTACTGAGTTGATAGTCTAAAGACCTCCCCACTCCTTTGCAAGTGCCTTCATTTATTTTTCTTTAGTTCCAATTCCATGTTTTTTAGCGTCATCTCTAGCCCAAATCCGCATTCCCCACCAAACAGCAGCTCAGTCCAGAGAGTATCTTTCTCTGCAGTGAGTCTATGCAATACTAGTTTTGTCTCTGAACTTTATAGTCTACAGCTGGTTGTCCCCTATTCTGCCCCAGTCACCTGTTGGACACCTGCTGTGCTGCTGGATCCAGGGTATCACTTGTCTGTTTTATAACCATGCCTTGGTGATGATATATCTATTTACCAGATGACTTATAGCTACTTAAAATAGTGAAGGAAAAGAGTGTCTCTGAGCTTTGCCATGGTCCGATTTCCTGATTGATGTGTCCTTTTGCCCTTCCTCATGTCTCTTAAGGGTCTTTCTAAGGACTTTGCCCATTACGTCATTTCTGGTGGAACATATATTTGAATAGGAGTAATTCATTACTGCTCAACATGAAACACCCTTTTCCAGGCCACTCCCGACAGGTACTGGCCTCATTTCTGCCTTGTTTCTTTAAGCAGGAAAGAACTAACCAATACCTTTTGGTTTGGTTCAGTTGACCCATTTCCACCTTTGAGTTCTCTATTATGTTTTCAGGACACCACTACTGCCTTCTGAGTTTGTCTAATCTCTTGCCATTTTTTGAGCCCCGCTACTCCCAGAATTCTGTCTATGAAAGCTTTCAGGACACATCCTGGATTGAATAAGCATTTACGCTCATGACCTTTTGGATCTCCTTCAGTTCTTCTCTGTATGTTTTTATGGTACTCACTTCCCAACCTGTCAGTGTATCGTAGTGTAGGAGCATGGTCTCTAGTGCCACACATCCTGATTTGGAATCCTGAGGAGTCTGCCTTGAAGGAACTCTGTGGCCTTGGGCATGTTACTTTCTCTGTGGCATGGTTTTCTAATCAGGAAAGTCAAGATAAAATGAGATAACACTGAAGTGGTTGGGATAGTAACTGTCACAAACCAGGCACCAAATATACGTTAGACCTTAAGGCTGTGCATTGTACCTACCTGTGCTTGAGTCTGTGTGTTTCACATAGTCTGTGGTCTTAACAGCAATCATAAAGGACGGTTTTAACCACTTAACTTTATTCTTCGCAGCAACTCTTTGATGTAGGTATCGTTACAATCCCATTACTTATGAGAAATCTTGAGCTAAATAACTTCCATGAAGTCACAATAAATGATGAGCTGGGACTTATTCCGTGCCTTCCAAGTCCTATGGATTCATAATATATTCTTTTTTTTTTTTTTTTAAAGATTTTATTTATTTGAGAGAGACAGTGAGAGGGGGAGACAGAGAGAAAGGTCTTCCTTCCGCTGATTCATTCCCTAAATTATGTCAGTGGACGGAGCTGTGCCGATCCAGAGCCAGGAGCTTCTTCTGAGTCTCCCACAGTGGTGCAGGGGCCCAAGCACTTGGGCCATCTTCCACTGCTTTCCCAGGCCACAGCAGAGAGCTGGATTGGAAGAGGAGCAGCCGGGACTAGAACCAGCGCCCATATGGGATGCCGGCACGCCAGGCCAGGGCCTCAACCCACTGTGCCACAGCGCTGGCCCCAGTTCATAATATATTCTACATGACATACATAGTTCTGACTTTATTGCTAACTAGTTTGTGTTCTTAGGCAAGTCATTTTTGTCTTGGGCTTCAGGGACTCAGTTGAGGCATCTTAGGGAAAAATGAGTGGAATTGAAGGGGAGTGTGCTTTTTTTGAGACTTTGGGATTCTACATCAGTATTAGTGAAGTTATATATGGAAAACCCAAAATGTATTCCTAGAGGAAGAGATAGCCACTGATATACTTACAGTGCTGAGTATATTACTGTCTACATCAAATCTTAATGAGTTCCACATTTACCTTTTGAAAAAAAGTATTGTTACCTGTTGTCACTGATGAAGAAACCAAGGCTGGCGGCAGTCAAATGATACCTGTTAGCTCACATGTAAGCCGGAGAGCCAGACTTTAAACCCATTTTAGCTTACTGAAAAGCCTGCTTGCTTGGCATTACACAATGCTGCTTTAGAGTTTTGAAAGACCATGTGGAATGTGAAGATATCTCTTCCCTGAACTGTTAGTTAACCTTAAGATTTTGTTTCTTTTTTTTTTTTTCCAAAATAAATACACGTAAACATAATACCTGATATCCCACATGATTTTTGCTCAGAAACTCTTAGCTGTCAGTGGCTATTGGCATGGCTCCTGGTCAGTCCTCCACAAGCACACTGAACCCATTACCTTCTCAGGGAGCTAAAGGTCTTACTAAGAGCCTGTTTTATATAGTCTGCAGGAAAATAGCTTGTAGATATGATTTTTAGTTTTCATGGGCTTCATGGATGATTAATTTTTTACTGATATGTGTATTTCTTATATCCTAGGTACTTTTAAATTCAATACAGATGCTGCTGAGTTCATTCCTCAGGAGAGAAAAAATTCTGGTCTAAGTTGTGGGACTCAAAGGAGACTAGACTCTAGTAGAAGTGGTAGAAGAAATTACAGTTCACCACCTCCCTGTCACCTTGCCAGGCAACTCCCTTATGATGATATCTCTGCTGTTCAGCACAGTTATCATCCTCTAGGAAGCAAACCCAAGAGTCAACAGACTTCTTTCCAGTCCTCTGCTTCTAATAAATCATCCAAGAGCCATGGCCTTCAGAGTCAACCTTGGCACAAATTGAGGAGTGAAAAGCACCACATAAGAGTCAAGAAAGCACAGAATCTCATTGAACAGACCTCAGATGTAATTAACTTAGAAAGCCTGGCTAGATTGGAGAGTGGGACAAACCCCATAGAGCACAGCCCTTCTGAGAGTGAGAAGGAAGTTGTCGGTGCAGATCCCAGGGGAGCGAAGCCCAAAAAGGCAACACAATCTTTATACAGCTATGGCAAAGGACCAAAAGTCAAGGGCAAACTGAAATGTGAATGGGGCAACAGAATAACTCCAAAACCTGAGGAGGCTGGATCTGAAAATACGAAGCCTGTGGTGATTTTCCACCTTGACTCTTCGGATGCATCATCTAGAAAAGGAGTGCTAGATGGGTGTGGGGCCAAACGAAATGAGCAGAGAAGATACCCACAGAAAAGGCCTCCCTGGGAAGTAGAGGGGGCCAGGCCACGACCAGGCAGGAATCCACCGAAACAGGACGGCCAGCGACATACTAGTACAGGGCCCAGAAACAGCATGGTTTGTGTTCCCAAGGACAGTCTCAGTGAAAGACCAACAAAGTCCGCCTGTGACAGTGGCAATTTGGCAGTTGTCAACAAGTCTTCCAGAAGGGCTGACCAAGAGAAATGCACTATTCGGAGGCAGGATCCTCAAATAGGATCTCCTTTCTCCAGAGGCAAACAGAACCATGTGCTGAAGAATGTGGAAACACATACAGGTAAACTGATCTAGATGGATGAATTTCTTTTTATTTTAAATTTAAAATAGGTAATATATACACACAGTTTAGAAACTGGAAAGTATAAAAAGGTACAGTGAAAAGTCTCTGTCTTACCATCTGCCTGAGTTCTGCCACCACCCATTGCTCCCCTCCCCAAGATTTCATCACCTCTCTATCCAGCCAGCATTCTGCATCTGCTGTTGTGCATCTGTAGATTCAGCCGTGGATTAAAAATATTCTGGAAAAGAATTGCATTTGTACTGAACATGTACATTTTTTTCTTGTCACTATTCCCTATACAAAACAATATAGAAGCTATATAGCATTTACATTGTTTTAGGTATTATAAGTAATGTAAAGATGATGCAAAGTATAAGACTGTTTAGGATATATAATCAACCATGATACCATTTTATTTTATTTAAAGATTTATTTGGGGCCGGTGCTGTGGCGTGGGTAAAGCTGCCACCTGAAGTGCCAACATCCTACATGGGTGCTGGTTCAAGTCCCGGCTGCTCCACTTCTGGTCCAGCTCTCTGCTATGGCCTGAGAGAGCAGTGGAAGATGGCCCACGTCCTTGGGACCCTGCACCCACGTCACAGCGCCGGCCCCTATACAATAATTTTTTTTTTTTTTTTTTTGACAGGCAGAGTGGACAGTGAGAGAGAGAGAGACAGAAAGGTCTTCCTTTGCCGTTGGTTCACCCTCCAATGGCCGCCACGGCTGGCGCGCTGCAGCCAGCGCACCGCGCTGATCAAAAGGCAAGAGCCAGGTGCTTCTGGTCTCCCATGGGGTGCAGGGCCCTAGCACTTGAGCCATCCTCCACTGCCTTCCCGGGCCACAGCAGAGAGCTGGCCTGGAAGGGGGGCAACTGGGAAAGAATCCAGCGCCCTGACCGGGACTAGAACCTGGTGTGCTGGCGCCGCTAGGTGGAGGATTAGCCTAGTGAGCCACGGCGCCGGCGACATTTCTCATTTTCCCGAGTGTAGTTTCATTAAGGCTAGCATCATTCTGCTGCTCTTACCATCTTGGTCTCCTTCCAGTTAATGTGAGGGACAGCCCAGTTCCTGAAGCCACCTCCTGTCCAGGGTTCTGCTTTGATACTGGTTTGTAGTTCTGCTTGTTTGCTTCACAGGCAGTCCTTGGGGCTTGAGCTCACATGCAAAGCAGGCAGTGTTATACCAGTTATTTTTGAATACTTAACGCTGGCTAATGGTGTCCTATAGCTTCATAAAGACTGCATACATTTATTTTGTCACAGTTTTGTTGTGGGTCAAGAATCTGGGTATGGGTTAGTTGAGTTCTATGTTCAAGGTCTCACAGGGCTGAAACTTGTCCAGGAATATGCTGTCACCTGAGGCTCAGAGTCCTCTTTTATGCCCACCGGTTGCTGGTAGAGATTAGTTCCTTCCAGCCGAGGTCCCCGTGTTCTTGGTGGCTGTTGGCAAGGAAGTCACTCCCAGCTCCTAGAGGCCACCCTTAGTTTTCTGCTGAGTGGTGCCCTCTACAACATGGCATTTGGTCTCTTTGAAGCCTATAGGAAATCATCTGCAGCAGTTTCAAATCTCTGACTTCTGTTTACTGATCTCTAGGCTCTTTTTAACAGGCTCCCCTGACAAAGGTCAGGGCCATCCATACTAAGGGGGAGGAGATTATGCAGGGCGTACACATCAGGGAGCTGGAAGTCTAGGAAGCCATCTTAGAATTCTACCCAACAAATCTCATGGGGCCTTATGTTCACATCATCCATATTATTCTTGAGAAAACATCACTCATTTAATAAGTAAATACTGTGTGTCAAGTACTATTCTGGTTACAGGGAATACTGATGACATTTACATTCTGATGGGGAAGACAGGCAGAAAATACTTAAATATCATATGTCAGGTTAAGGGTTCAAGGTAAAGGGTTGGCCAGCACCACGGCTCACTTGGCTAATCCTCCGCCTGCGGCGCCGGCACCCCGGGTTCCAGTCCCGGTTGGGGCACCGGATTCTGTCCCGGTTGCTCCTCCTTCAGTCCAGCTCTCTGCTGTGGCCCGGGAAGGCAGTGGAGGATGGCCCAAGTGCTTGGGTCCCTGCACCCGCATGGGAGACCAGGAGGAAGGGCCTGGTTCCTGGCTTCAGATCGGCACAGTGCCGGCTGTGGCGGCCATTTGGAGGGTGAACCAATGGAAGGAGGACCTTTCTCTCTCTCTCTCTCTCTCACTGTCTAACTTTGCCTGTAAAAAAAAAAAAAAAAAAGCAAAGCTGGCTGGAGCCTGGCTTTTTTTCTTATATTTTTCGGGTCAGGCAGAGTGGACAGTGAGAGAGAGAGACAGAGAGAAAGGTCTTCCTTTTACCGTTGGTTCACCCCCACAATGGCCGCTGCGGCTGGCGCACCGTGCTGATCCGCAGTCAGGAGCCAGGTACTTCTCCAGGTCTCCCATGGGGTGCAGGGCCCAAGCACCTGGGCCATCCTCCACTGCACTCCCTGGCCACAGCAGAGAGCTGGCCTGGAAGAGAGGCAACCGGGACAGAATCCGGCGCCCTGACCAGGACTAGAACCCGGTGTGCCAGCGCCACAAGGTGGAGGATTAGCCTAGTGAGCCGCGGCGCCGGCCCTGGAGCTGGCATTGTGGCATAGCAGATAAAGCCACTGCCTATGATGCCAGCATTCTGAATGGGTGCCTGTTTGAGTCCCAGCTGCTCCGCTTGCAATTCAGCTTCCTGCTAGTACACCCTGGAGAGCAGTGGTTCCCTGACCCAGATGGAATTCCTTGATTCTGGCTTCAGACTGGCCCAGCCCTGGCAATTTTGACCATTTGGGGAGTGAACCATCCAATGGAAGATCTCTCTGTCTCTTGCTCTCTCTCTCGTTACCTCTGACTTTCAAATAAATAATTTTCAAAATAATAATAATAAAGCAGTAAAAAGGACAGAGTAACAGGAGTGTTATTTTAAATAAGTTAATATCTTTGAGAGGAGACGTTTGAACAGAGTCCAGAATAAAGTACAGAGTGCAACACGTGGCTCTGGCAGAGAGCATTTCAGGCAGAGGGAAGAGCAAATTCATACGCATTGTTGACAGTAAAGAAGGGGGCGGGAGAGGAGGTCAGAGAAATAGCAGGGATCAAATTGTGTGAAACCTTTAGACTTGATACTGAGGAAGAAGAGAAGCTGTTGGAAGCTATGATTGTACTTTTATTTTTTTTAAAGATTTATTATTTATTTAAAAGGCAGACAGATTTTACATCTGCTGCTTCACACCCCAAATGGCTGCAACTGCCAGGGCTGAGCCAGGCCAAAGCCAGGAGCTTCTTCCAGGTCTCCAGTGTGGGTGGCAAGAGCCCAGGTGCTTGGGCCATCTTCTGCTACTTTCCCAGGCACATTAGCAGGGAGTAGGATTGGAAGTAGAGCAGCCATGACACCAGTCAGTACCCATGTGGGATGCTGGTATTGCAGGCAGTGGCTTAGTCTGCTATACCACAATGCCAGTCCCTGATCTTATATTCTAAAATGATCACTCAGGCTAAGGAAGCAAAGGGACAAGTTAGGAGGCTATTGCAGTAATTCAGGTAGAAGATGATAGAGAGTTGGACTGGGGCAGCAGTGGTGGAAAAGATAAGAATTGATTAAACTGTGGATATATTTAGGTGAACTGAAAAGATTTGCAGATAGATTGGATGTCAGATACAGGAGAGAGAAATTAAGGATGGGAGCACTGGTGTGGCATGCTGGGTTAAGCCACCACCTGTGATGCCAGCATCCAATATTGGAGCACCTGTTTTTTTTGTTTTGTTTTGTTTTGTTTTGACAGGTAGTTATAGACAGAGAGAGAGAGACAGAGAAAGGTCTTCCTTCCATTGGTTCACTCCCCTAATGGCCGCCACGGCCGGCGCTGTGCCAACCTGAAGCCAGGAGCCAGGTGCTTTTCCTGGTCTCCCACGCGAGTGCAGGGACCCAAGCACCTGGGCCATCCTCCACTGCCCTCCCGGGCCACAGCAGAGAGCTGGACTGGAAAAGGAGCAACCGGGACTAGAACCCAGCGCCCATATGGGATGCTGGCGCCACAGGCAGAGGATTAACCAAGTGAGCCACGGCGCCAGCCCGGAGCACCTGTTTTGAGTCCTGGCTGCTCCACCTCTGATCCAACTCCCTGCTCGTGTGCCAGGGAAAGCTGTGGAAGTAGACCCAGTGGAGTTCCTGGCTCCTGGCTTCAGTTTGGCCCAGCCCCAGTTTTTCAGCCATTTGGGGAGTGAACTAGCAGATGGAAGATTGAGCAGTCTCTCTTGGATGTGTTCTGTCTCTCTCTCTCTCTCTCTCTCATGCTCTGCCTTTCAAATATTTCTGTTTTGTTTGTTTTAAGGATTTAGTTCAATTTGAGTTGCCTATTAGACTTCCAAATGGACATGTTAAGTAGGGAGTTAGATATACAGTAATGGCATGGGGGGGGGGGAGGTCTGTACAAGAAATTTAAATTTGGGAATTATCAATTTAAAGAGAGTATTTCATGGACTAGAGGAGACAAAGGTGTGAGTGTAGTTAGAGAAGAAAAGTTTGAGGATTGACTCGTGCTGAGCTCAGAGTTTCAAGGTTGGAAGATGAGGATCCAACAGAGGAGATGGAGAATGAGTAGTAATTGACCTAAGAAGTAAACCACGTTTGGGGCCGGTGTTGTGGCCTGTCATGTAAAGCCACTACCTGCGATGTGGGCACCAGTTTGTGTCCCAGCTATTCGACTTCTGATCCAGCTCCCTGCTAATGCACCTAGGAAAGCAGCAGAAGATGGCCCAAGTGCTTAGGCCCCTCTCACCCATTTGGGAGACTGGGATGAAGTTCCTGGCTCCTGGCTTCAGCCTGGCCTAGCCCTAGTTGTTGCAGCCATTTGGGGGATGAACCAGCAGTTCAAAAATCTCTCTCTTACTGTGTCTCTCTCCCTCTCTGTAACTCTCTCAAATAAATAAATACATCTTTTTTAAAAAGAGAAGTAAACTGTATTCCAAATTCCAAATCAAAAATTCAAAGAGAAGAGAATGATCTTTTGGGACAAATGCTACTGATAGCTCCAGGAAGATGACAGTTGCATGTTGACTAAGTGAATTTGACATCATGAAGGGTTTTGGTTTTAAAAAGAGCAGTTTCAGCCAGTGCCGCGGCTCACTAGGCTAATCCTTCGCCTTGCAGCGCCGGCACACCGGGTTCTAGTCCCGGTCGGGGTGCCGGATTCTGTCCTGGTTGCCCCTCTTCCAGGCCAGCTCTCTGCTGTGGCCAGGGAGTGCAGTGGAGGATAGCCCAAGTCCTTGGGCCCTGCACCCATGGGAGACCGGGATAAGTACCTGGCTCCTGCCATCGGATCAGCGTGGTGCGCAGGTCGCAGCGCGGCGGCCATTGGAAGGTGAACCAACGGCAAAGGAAGAACTTTGTCTCACTGTCCACTCTGCCTGTCAAAAAAAAAAAAAAAAAAAAAGGCCGTTTTGGGGCTGGTACTGTGTGTAGTAGATTAGGCCTCCATCTGCAGTGCCAACATTCCAAATGGGCACTTCTTCATGTCCTGGGTGCCCTTCTTCTGATCTAGCTCTCTGCTATTGGCTTGGGAAAGCAGCAGAAAATGGCCAAAGTGCTTGGGCCTCTGCACCCATGTGGAAGACCTGGAGGAAGCTCCTGGCTCCTGGCTTCAGATCAGCCCAGCTCTGGCCATTGCAGCCATTGGGGGAGTGAACCAGCAGATGCAAGACCTCTTTCTCTTTCTCCTCTTTCTGTAACTCTATCTCTCAAATAAATATTTTTTAAAAAGTTTTCTGTGAGTGGTGGAAATAGAAGTTTGATTGGAATGGAAAGAGAGGATTTGAAGCTAGTGCCACTCCACCTTTTAGCTACACCTCACCTTCCATGTCTTGCCCTTGTCATCATTTTCCAAATCCCCCGTCTCCAATCCTTGTGTATTGATGCATATCGCCTATATCTTTTCTCTACCCTAGTGGTTCTCAAAATGTAGTTCCAGACCAGCAGCCATCAGTAACACCTAGGAACTTGTTAGAATATGAATTCTTGGGCCTCACTACAAACTTAACTAAACAGAGATGAGCAAAGGGCCCAACAATCTTATTTTTTTAACAAGTATCTGTGATTTTTACATGTGTTTTAGTTTGAGAATGAAAACCTGCTATTATTCTGGGTAATTAGTGATCATATGGGTGGTGACCTCTTCTGTTCTGATTCCATATCTAACCCCAGGAAAATAGCCCTAGGGATGCCCCATCTCTGAAATCTTAAGCCAGGAGCCTCTTCCAGGTTTCCCATGCTGGTGCAGGGCCCAAGCATCTAGGCCATCTTCTACTGCTTTCCCAGGCCATAGCAGAGAGCTGGATTGGAAGTGGAGCAGCCATGACTCAAATCGCTGCCCATATGGGATGTCAGCACTGCAGGCTCTGCCACAGCACTGGCCCCTATATCTTTTCATTATTTGTTTATTGTCTGCCTTCCTTTACTACATAATAAGCTTCATTTGGGCAGATGTATTCCTATTCTGCCCAGTATCTGCCTTTACTGTTGAAAAAGTACCTGGTACATAGAATTGCTCAGTAAATGTTTTTGAATAGTGTTCTCTAGCCTCCATTGTCTTATAGCACTGCCTGTTTCCCCTTCTGTGTCCTTGGACAGCTTTCCTTCCCATTTTCATCTAAGATTGCTCCAAGCCTTTTCCACAACTAATATTCACCTCCCTGTCTCCCAGGGTGCACCTTAGCAGGAAGCTAGATCAGATGGGGAGTGGGGACTCAAGCCCAGGAAGTCTGGTGGGGGAATGCAGACATCTTAACTACTGCACTGGATACCCACCTCTGCTGCACTGACTTCTTTTTTTTTTTTTTTTTGGACAGGCAGAGTGGACAGTGAGAGAGAGAGAGACAGAGAGGAAGGTCTTCCTTTGCCGTTGGTTCACCCTCCAGTAGTTGCCGCGGCCGGCGTGCTGCGGCTGGCACACCGGGCTGATCCGATGGCAGGAGCCAGGAGCCAGGTGCTTTTCCTGGTCTCCCATGGGGTGCAGGGCCCAAGCACCTGGGCCATCCTCCACTGCACTCCCTGGCCACAGCAGAGAGCTGGCTTGGAAGAGGAGCAACCGGGACAGAATCCAGCACCCTGACCGGGACTAGAACCTGGTGTGCCGGCGCCGCTAGGCGGAGGATTAGCCTAGTGAGCCGCGGCGCCGGCCTGCTGCACTGATTTCTAAAGCTTTTTTTTTTTTTTTTTTTTTATTTTATTTTATTTGGAAAGCAGAATTACAGAGAGGCAGAGAGAGAGAGAGGTCTTCTGTCCTTTGGTTCACCCCCTAAATGGTCATAACAGCTGGAGCTGAGCTGATCTGAAGCCAGGAGCCAGGAGCTGCTTCTGGGTCTCCCACATGGGTGCAGGGCCCAAGGAGTTGGACCATCTGCTGCTGCTTTCCTAGGCCAAAGCAGAGAGCTGGATCGGAAGTAGAGCTGCCAGGACATGAACTGCCCATATAGGATGCCAGCACCATAGGTGGTGGCTTTACCTGCCGCGCCACAGTGCCGGCCCCAGACCTAGCTTTTTTAGTCTTACCCCCAGATATAATCAGCTTTATTTAACCTTTTGTCCTTTTTCCTTATAGAATTTTCAGTGCCCATTTTTATGTAGTGAAATTATGCAATACAAATAATTGTATCCTTTCTTTTGCCTATTACGATGTAATGTTTTTCTAATCATTAAGAAATCTTTATATGTCTTATTTTAAGTTATTTTGTAATATGCCATAAAATAGATGTGTATTAATATTTAATCTTCCCAGGGGCTGGCACTGTGGCATAGTGGGAAAAGCCACAGCTTGCCGGTTCAAGTTCACGCTGCTGTATTTCTGATCCAGTTCCCTGCTAATGTGCCTGGGAAAGCAGCAGAGGATGGTCCAAGTTCTTGGGCCCCTGTACCCACATGGGAGACCCAGAAGAAGCTCCTGGCTCCTGGCTTTGGACTGGCTCAGCTCCAGCTATTGTGTTCATTTGGGGAGTGAACTAGCAGATGGAAGACTAGCAGATGGAAGACCTCTCTCTGCGTCTCCCTCTGTCTCTCTGTAATTCTGCCTTTCAAGTAAAAAACTAAATCTTTTTTTTTTTTAAATGTTAATCTTTTTTATTTTATTTATTTTTTTTTTATTTATTTATTTTTTTTTATTTTTCTGACAGGCAGAGTGGACAGTGAGAGAGAGAGACAGAGAGAGAAAGGTCTTCCTTTGCCGTTGGTTCACCCTCCAATGGCCGCCGCTGCAGCCGGCGCACCGCGCTGATCCGATGGCAGGAGCCAGGAGCCAGGTGCTTTTCCTGGTCTCCCATGGGGTGCAGGGCCCAAGCACCTGGGCCATCCTCCACTGCACTCCCTGGCCATAGCAGAGAGCTGGCCTGGAAGAGGGGCAACCGGGACAGAATCCGGCGCCCCAACCAGGACTAGAACCCGGTGTGCCGGCGCCGCAAGGTGGAGGATTAGCCTATTGAGCCACGGCGCCGGCCAAAACTAAATCTTTTTAAAAAATTCATTTATGTATTATTTCTTCTTCTTTGATGATGTATTTTAAACTAAATTTCTAAGATTGGGCTTTTTTTCTTTGGTTGAATGTTAGAATTTAGTTTTTTGATGTGTTCATTTGTTTTCTGAAGTGTGTGGATTTCCCTTTTTTTTTTTTTTTTTGACAGGCAGAGTGGACAGTGAGAGAGAGAGAGAGAGAGACAGAGAGAAAGGTCTTCCTTTGCCGTTGGTTCACCCTCCAATGGCCGCCGCGGCCGGCACGCTGCGGCCGGCGCACCGCGCTGATCCAATGGCAGGAGCCAGGAGCCAGGTGCTTTTCCTTGTCTCCCATGGGGTGCAGGGCCCAAGCACCTGGGCCATCCTCCACTGCACTCCCTGGCCACAGCAGAGAGCTGGCTTGGAAGAGGGGCAACCGGGTCAGAATCCGGCGCCCCAACCGGGACTAGAACCCGGTGTGCCGGCGCCGCTAGGTGGAGGATTAGCCTAGTGAGCCGCGGCGCCGGCTGGATTTCCCTTTAATCACCCACACAAGGTGTCTATTTCAGGCTTTCCCGAGAGAGAGAGAGTGCGCACAGAAGAGCGAACTATTCCAAAAACTTCAGCGAAACCTGCAACTTTCAGGGAAATAGGTTATGAAACAGACTAGCCTTTGGCTTCTTAGAATCAGGTAGCCCTTAAAATCTGTGTTGGGATTCTTTTCTCTTTCTTTTCCTTCCTTCCTCCTTCCATTTATTTTCATTTGATTTGAAAAGCAGAGAGAGAGAGATCAAGAGAGATCTTTATCTGCTGTTTCATTCCCCCAAATTCCTGCAGCTGCCAAGAACTTAAGCCAGGAGGCCAGTTTCCGTCTCCCTTGTGGGTGGCAGAGATCAAGTATTTGTCATCACCTTCTGCCTCCCAGGATGTGTATCAGCACAGAGCTGAATCAGCAGTGGAGGAGTTAGGATGTGAACAGGGCACCCTGGTGTGGGATGTGGGCCTCCCATACAGTGTATTAAGTGCCACACCAAATGCCTGACTCTGGGTTCTTAAATGACTTGTTGCTCCTTGGTTAACCAAAGTGAGGTATGGGTTTCTGTGTTTGAGTTTATCTTTTTCTATTTTGTTTTCTAAACAGGTTCTCTAATTGAACAGCTAACTACAGAAAAATATGAGTGCATGGTGTGCTGTGAGTTGGTTCGCGTCACAGCCCCAGTGTGGAGTTGTCAGAGTTGCTACCATGTTTTTCATTTGAGTTGCATAAAGAAATGGGCGAGGTCTCCAGCATCTCAAGCAGGTGATTTCTCTCTTCTGAGTAGTTATTTTCATCCATTTGGTATATTCAGGTTTTAAACCTAGGATCAAAAATACTGTTGAAATCCTTTCAAGTACTTTATCTGCAGAGAGAGAATGTTGCCTTAATCACATATCAGATGACTAGAATTAAGTTGTAGATCTTACATAACAGCTAAACATGACAATATTAAAATAGATTTAGGTTCTGATAAAAATCAGTCACTTTTATGGAAAATTGTAGCTTTTATCTAAGTAGCAGCTAGAGGAAACATTTCTTGGATGGTTTGCCTTAGAAATTTATAGAACACAATTGTCTAATAGTTGTTTAATTTATCCGAAGAATATCGAAGTTGTTTTGCCTTTTACAGATATTCTCTGTAGCTTATTGTAGTAGCTTTTCCCCAAAGTGTTCTCATATTCATGGATAATGCAACTGTTATTATTAATATGTTTTCTGAAATATGGCTCTCTAGTTCAAAACACCTAAATTTTTCCTGCCTGTACTGAAGTATTCTGTCCTTATTTTTTGCAAGGCAAGATTCAGATAATATTAACATTAGGAATACTAGAACAAAATGAATACTTGCTTGATTCATTGTATCTGAAAGTCCTTATAAGTATAAGCCCAAATACAGAATTTAAGCAAAGCATTCAGTATTTTGAGTTTGTTTCTTAAATGTCTGATATATTTGTGTTGAAACTATTACCACTGCTTTAATATGTTGGCTTCCTATAACTTACATTGTTTAAAAAAAAATTTTTTTTTTTTTCATTTGACTTACTCCCATTTTTTGCTGACAGATGGCCAGAGTGGTTGGAGGTGCCCTGCCTGTCAGAATGTTTGTGCACACGTTCCCAACACCTACACTTGTTTCTGTGGTAAGTTTGTATAGATTGGAGTCTCTTTCACTTCAAACACTGTACCCCAGTTCCTAATCCAGGAGAGGTGGTTTGCTGGGCACCATCGTACTCATGTTGTCCATCACACGGCTGGATTCATGGGCCTTTGTGCTCTTGGGCACACTCTTTGGAGGTGGGCCATCCATCTTTTCCTGCCAACCAAGCTCATGCTGCTTCGGAGCAGTGGGGCAGTCTTAGTTGTGAGACTAGAGCAGACCAGGTGGTAGGGGCAGGTATAGACATGGGCTCCCTCTCATTCCCAGCTGCAAGTTTTGGTAGTCCGGATTTGAGCAGCATGAATTAAAGGTAATGCTTATTGTTATCCAAGAAATAAGTTGTTGGTCTTTTCTGTAAACCAGCATTACAAACTCTGTCCTTACATCCTCCCACTTTGTGGAATACAAGTATTTCCTGTTTTTGAATAACTCAGTTTTCCTATGGATTAGGAAAAAAACTTCCTGTGATCCAGATGCTCATTCCTGCTGCTAACCTATTTCCTGCATGTCCTTTTATCCCCTTCCTGTCTTTTAATGACTGACCTTCTCTATCTAGTTGTTGATTCTTCACGTTTTGTTTCTTAACCATTTGTTTCCCTCCTTGAACCACTGACATTCTGCTTCTGTCCTTAATGTCTCACTGAACGTGAATGCAGAAGTCGTCAGTGATCCTTCCTGACCACATTTAGAGCTGAGTTGTAAACTCTTAACCTTTTTGGCTACTTTCACCAGGAGTTAGTCATTGGCCATCAATTTTTTATCTTCTGAATTCAATCCCTTGGTGAACTCACTCACTGACTATGGAGATTGTTTTTCCCTTTTCTTTTCTTTTCTTTTCTTTTCTTTTCTTTTCTTTTCTTTTCTTTCCTTTCCTTTCCTTTCCTTTCCTTTCTTTTCTTTTCTTTTCTTTTCTTTTCATTTCTTTTCTTTTCTTTTCTTTTCTTTTCTTTTCAAGATTTATTTTATTTATTTGAAAGAGTTATAGAGAGAGGAAGAGCCAGAGAGAGAGAGAAGTCTTCCATCCATTGGTTCACTCCTCCAAAATGACCACAACTGCCAGAGCTGGGCTGATCCAAAGCCAGGAGCTTCTTCAGGGACTCCCACATGGGTACAGGGGCGCAAGGACTTGGGCCGCCTTCTGCTACTTTCCCAGGCCATAGCAGAGAGCTGGATCAGAAGTGGAGCAGCCGGAACTTGAACCGGCACCCATATGGGATGCCGGCGCTGCAGGCTGGTACTTTAACCTGCTGAGCTACAGCGCTGGCCCCTCCCCTTCTTTTCTTTAGATCTTCATTCTCAAGTTCTGACACCAAATGGCCTTTTCCACCTGCAGTGCTATCATCCCATATGGGCTGCAGTTCAAGTCCAGATGCTCCACTTCAATCCAATTCCCTGCTAATGTGCCTGGGAAAGCAGTGGAGGATGGCCGAAAAGCTTGGGCCCCTGCATCCACATGGGAGACCTGGCTCCTGGCATAGGCCTGGCCGTTGCAGCAATTTGGGGAGTGAACCATCAGATGGAAGATTGATCTCTCTCTGTCTCTCTCTCCCCCTTTCTCCCTCTTCTTCTCTGTATCTCTGCCTTTTGAATAAATCTTAAAAAAAAAAAAAGGATTTGCAGTATGACACTCATTATAAAATTACAGCCATTTTATCCCTACTTTGTAGCTTTAGGTGAGTTACTGCTACACAAAGGATTTATAGCCTTTCCAGCTCTTATTGTCTCCTCCATGTGTTTGTAGTATCTTCTCTTATTCCCTCTTTCTTATCCTTACCACAGGTACTTCCATAATAGTCCAGTGCACATTTGTAGAGGCTTATCTTAAGATTTATCATACTCAGTTAAGCTTTTGATGAGTAGCATTACATTCATCTGCTTTTACTTTAGGGTGTGAGATAATACATTTGTTGAACTAATGAAAGCCACACGGAAGTTTCATGCTCTCTAGCTAAACTGCACTGTTTGATTAAAATCAAGGATATGATTGAAGTTTTTGCCATTGACTCTCTGATCTGATGTGTTTTAGGCAAGGTAAAGAATCCTGAATGGAGCAGAAATGAAATTCCACATAGTTGTGGTGAGGTTTGTAGAAGGAAACAGCCTGGCCAGGACTGTCCACATTCCTGTAATCTGTAAGTTGGAACTCTAGATCCCTGGGGATTCCTGGTAGACATGCTTTGCTGATGGTTCTAAGTACACATATCTGGTTCGCACGTAACAGGCTGGGGTAAAGGTTGTACCAGGAACTTTACATGTGAACTTGTATAGGTATTTATTTCCACTTCACAGATGAGGCTCAGAAAGGCCGAGTATCTTGCCCAATGTCACATTGCTAGAAGATGATGATAGAGCTGAAATTTCCAAAGCCAGTGTTTCTCCCCCACTGTATTACACCGATGTGTCTCAGATATTTTAGCCTCTGCTGCTATCCAGGCTGGAAAGAGCAGAGTATAACCTCTGTCTGGAAGGCAGTTGTATGGTTTTTTTTAAAGGTTTATTTATTTATTTACTTGCATGAATATTATTTATATGAATACTTATTTACTTATGTGAAAGGTAGAGTGACAGAGAGAGAGAGAGAGATCTTCCGAGGCCAGTGCTGTGGCATAGCAGGTAAGACCACCGCCTGCATGGCCAGCATCCCGTGTGGGCACCGGTTCGAGACCCAGCTGCTCCACTTCCAATCCAGCTCTCTGCTGTGGCCTGGGAAAGCAGTGGAGGATGGCTTAGGTCCTTGGGCCTCTGCACCCTCATGGGAGACCCAGAAGAAGTTCCTGGCTCCTGGCTTCAGATCAGAACAGCTCCAGCCATTGGGCCAACTGGGGAGTGAACCAACAGATGGAACATCTCTCTCTCTTTCTGCCTCTGCATCTCTCTGTGTGTAACTCTGACTTTCAAATAAATTAATAAATCTTTTTTAAAAAAAGAATACAAGTAATGTTTTAAAAAAAGAGAGAGATCTTCCATCTCGTGGTTCACTTTTCAAATGACTGCAACAGCCAGAGTTAGGCCAGGCTGAAGCCTGGAGCCAGGAACTCCCATCTGGATCTCCCACATGCGTATCTGTAGCTGAAGTACTTAGACCATCATTCACTGCTTCCTAGGTGCGTTAGTGGGAGACTAGATCAGCAGTGGAACAGCCAAGACTATCAGTAGTCTTTCAGACTCAACTGAACAGCATGGCCTTGATCTCCTAGGCTGTCAGCCCATCCTTCCCTCTGACCACTGGCATAGGTCCTTCCTTCGGGATTTATTTGCTGACTCGACTCCTCCTTTTATGAAGCAGTTTTTAAAAGATATATTTATTTATATATATAAGGCCGAGTTGATAGAGAAAGAGGTCTTCCATCTCCTGATTCATTCCCAAAATGCTTGCAACACCCAGTCTGCACCCCAGAGCAGTTGAATCGGAACATTTATAGTTTTTAAAGCTTTCCAGGTGCTTCTGATATGTAGCCAGAGTTGCAAATCTGCCCTAATGGTTAAAAAAAAAAAATAACCCTAGGTTTAGGTCCAGGCTTCAGGGATATTTGAGATGACCTGCAGTCACTCACATGGGACCAGTATTTATCTGGTCTGAAATTACCAAATGTACAGCCATGAAATTTGGCTCACTTGAAAGGGTTGAGGAGTATCATCTGAAATGTAGCTTAAATTTATGTCTCCTAAGCGTCCTTGTTTGTGGGTTGTTTTCAGTGTTTAAACTTTATTTAAGAATTACTGGAAGTGGACATTTGGCACAGCAGTTAAAACACTAATTAGGATGCCCTATTACATAATGAAGTGCCTGGGATCAAATCCCTGCTCCACTTCCAATTCTAGCCTCTTGCTAATGCACACTCTGGGAGGCAGCAGATAATGGCTCAGGTACCTCTGTGAGAACCACATTAAGTTCCAGACTGCTGGCTTTGGTCTGGCCCACCCAAGGCTGTTGCAGACATTGGGGAATGAACTAGTGATTGGAAGCTCTCTGTCTCTATGTCTCTTTCACGTCTCTGCTTTTCAAATAAAATGAAAGTCAATTTTTTTTTTTTTTTTTTTTTGACAGGCAGAGTGGACAGTGAGAGAGAGAGACAGAGAGAAAGGTCTTCCTTTGCCGTTGGTTCACCCTCCAATGGCCGCCGCAGCTGGTGCGCTGCAGCCGGCACACCGCGCTGATCCGATGGCAGGAGCCAGGTACTTATCCTGGTCTCCCATGGGGTGCAGGGCCCAAGCACTTGGGCCATCCTCCACTGCACTTCCCTGGCCACAGCAGAGAGCTGGCCTGGAAGAGGGGCAACCGGGACAGAATCTGGCGCCCCGACTGGGACTAGAACCCGGTGTGCTGGCGCCGCAAGGCGGAGGATTAGCCTAGTGAGCCGCGGCGCCGGCCCAATTTTTTAAATATTAAGAACTTTTGAAAATGAGTTACCAGAGCTGGTTTAAGAGTCACATAAAAAAACTAAAAACTATAGGCACATCTGTTTTTCAGAGCAACTTCAGTTATTTACCTGATAAATTAGGTGTGGCTCTGCTTGGTTTTTAATTCCCAAAGGATTATGATTTAGTATCACTGGGGACAGCTTCTCCTCCCCCAAAAAATGTTATAGTAGATGGTCCCAAAATGTTAGAAGTAGGGCTATTTCTGAAGCTGTATGTGTTTTACCAGTGTATATGCTTTAAAGAGAGCAGTATTTATTTGAATATACAAATTCCATTTTATAGTTTTTTTCCTGTTGGTCTCTATGAGCCATACACAGCTCCTATAAAAAGCATTCTTTTCAGAGGTCTAATTCTGACCTATAATGCATGTCTAAGCTCAGATCTTTCTGTGAACCGTCTCCAGTACATTTGCTTCTTATATTACCGCCATTCATCTTTGTTATATCCAAATATAACTGGTGTTTTTTAATTTAAAAATATAGTTGATACTTCTGTTTAATCAACATTATACAAACACTAAAGCATAGGTTTATTTATTGCCATTTATGCAGTAGAACACAGCTTTGGGTAGCTTTGTTTGGGTTTGGATACCTGGTATAGTTTTGCCTTGAAACTTTCTTCTTTTTCAGTCTCTGCCATCCTGGACCCTGTCCACCCTGTCCTGCCTTTATGACGAAAGCATGCGAATGTGGACGGACCAGGTAAAGTCAGAATTGCATTCTAAAGAAGACCTCAGTTTCTTCATGGTTGATATACTTGTCAATTTCTAAAACATGATTAGTAGGTAGATATAAATAGATATAAATAGTAGGTAGGTGTAAATAGTGCTTTCTGTAAACAATAGTTTCCTGTGCTGTGCTAAAGATTTCCGTGGAGAAGAGGTTGTATGAACAGGTGAGATTGTGATTCAGTTAGCCATTTCAGGTGAACTGCCCAATATGACTGTGATTCTTTTTAAACCTCTCTAGTGAGTGGCTGAATCAGGAGTTGAACCCATGCCTATTAAGGTTCAGGAGGCAGGGACTATTTTCCTGTGCCGAGCACAGTATCTGGCATTGAGGAAGTTTTCAGTTTTTATTGGCTGAAAGAATAACTGAGCCCCAAAGCCTATCATCTTTCCGTTATAATGCAAGTTCTGCATCATCATTGCAGTGATCATTGAGAACTGTGAAGTGCCTCTGAGGCCCTGTAACATCTTAAAGTGAGTTTGGAACCAGGAGACAAGATGGAATCATGCAGATTTTCAGTGATTCGCATTTGTTTCCTCTCTGCTAAATTAACCACAGTAAGCAGTTTGAGTCACTTGCAAGGTTCTGGGTCAGAAAGGTCAGCTCTGGGCTCTGCCACTTACTGATTATTGATCTTGGGCAAGTTCATTGGTCTCACCAACCCTCATTTGTCTTATAAAATAGAAATGATAGTGTCCATGTCAGGGAGTTGATGATAGCCAAGGTGTTGGTCATGAGAGTAGCCTAACAGGCCAGTGTGAGACATGCTGAGCACTACAAAGCGATCATCTGTGTATATGTCAGTGCTTCCTTAAAACAAAACATGGAGCTGCAGGAGAGTCGACTCTAAGAGGCAGACCATGACCCTGGAAAGACCTGAAGCCAGTTGTCTGAAAGCACTGGCCTGATATCTTTCTCTAGCTGCTAAATTGGCCAAGATCAGGATATCTATTGGAACAAAACTAGAAAGATTTTGCCCACCTTGAATCAGAGTCACATTCAATATGTTCTAAGTACTGTAGTTGTATGTGTGAGTACCAGGTCCCAGGGAAATGCCATGGTACTTTCAATGTATATCAGGTCAGATCTGGGTATATTATTGCTTCTCTTCCTCCTCACTCTGTAAGGTACTGTGGGAGCTCTAGGCAGAGTAGGACTAGAACCCAGATCTTCATCCCTAAGCTCTTTCCCCTGCTGCTTGCTGTATCATGGAACACAGTGACCAAATCACATAATCCTCCCGTGATCAGAAAGTGGAGCAGAGAAAAAGGCAGAGTGGGAAATAAAGAGAACAAAGAAAGAGAAAGGAGAAAGAACAGAGAAGGGTAGAGTGAGGAAATAAGAATTAGAAGAGGGAGACATAGGAAAAGTGGGGGAAGGGAGGTCAAGGGAAAAGTTTAATAGGTTTTGAGGGAGGGTTAGGTATTCAGTGGGAACTTAGACTGATGCTGTCTCCTCATCTTCTGTCTTCAGGCACACAGTTCGCTGTGGTCAGGCCATCTCAGTCCATTGTTCTAACCCGTGTGAGAATGTTTTGAACTGTGGTCAGCACCACTGTGCTGAGCTATGCCATGGGGGTCAGTGCCAGCCTTGCCGGATCATACTGAACCAGGGTAAGTGGTAGATGTACCGGATTGTTTCACCAAAAAACTGCTAAAGAAAATAACACACTCAGAAAACCACAGTGAGATACCTATTCAAACCTATGAGGATGGCTAAAACAAAACTAATGACCAAATGTTGGTAATGGGAAGGCAACTGGAATTCTCATGCATTGCTGACAAATACGAAACATGGCGTCACCATTTTGGACAATTCTGCCAGTTTCTTTTTAAGATTTATTTAATTTATTTGAAAGCGTTACAGAGAGGTAGAGACAGAGAGAGAAAGGTCTTTCCTTCCACTGGTTCACTCCCCAAATGGCTGCAATGGGTGGAGCTGAGCCAATCTGAAGCCAGGAGTTTCTTCTGGGTCTCCTATATGGGTGCAGGGGCCCAAGGACTTGGACTGTCCTCCACTGCTTTCGCAGGCACATTAGCAGGGAGCTGGATTGGAAGTAGAGCAGTTGGGACTCAAACTGGAGCCTGTATGGGATGCCAGCACTGCATACCAGGGCTTTAATCTGCTGCGCCACAGCACCGGCCCTGCCATTTTCTTATAACATTAAACCTATGTGTATCATATGATCTAACCATTCCACTATTAGTTTCATACCTAAGTCACACAAAGGTTTGTACAGGAATATATGTGTGTATGAGCCCCAGAATGTCAACAACTCAAATGTCCATTAGCTAGAAAAGGGACAGATAAATCACAGTATTTTCATACAGTGGAACCTATAAGCAATCAACAATGTATCTCAAAGTCATGTTACGTGAAACAAACTAGATACAGAAAGGAAGTTACTTTATGGTTTTATTTATATGAAATCTAAAAACAGAAAACAAATCTTCTGTTTTAAATACTAGAAAATGGCTTCCTGGAAGTGAGGGTTGTGGGGAAGGGGAGATGAAGAAATTTCCTAGGATGGTAGAAATGTTTGATCTTCTTTTGGGCAGTAGTTATAAGGATGTATACAATTTTTTTTTAAGATTTATTTATTTGGCCAGCGCTGCGGCTCACTAGGCTAATGCTCCGCCTTGTGGCGCTGGCACACCGGGTTCTAGTCCTGGTTGGGGTGCCGGATTCTGTCCCAGTTGCCCCTCTTCCAGGCCAGCTCTCTGCTGTGGCCAGGGAGTGCAGAGGAGGATGGCCCAAGTGCTTGGGCCCTGCACCCCATGGGAGACCAGGATAAGTACCTGGCTCCTGCCATTGGATCAGCGCGGTGCGCCGGCCGCAGCGTGCCGGCCGCGGCGGCCATTGGAGGGTGAACCAACGGCAAAGGAAGACCTTTCTCTCTCTCTGTCTCTCTCTCTGTCCACTCTGCCTGTCAAAAAATTTTAAAAAATTAAAAAAAAAAAAAGATTTATTTATTTATTTATTTATTTGAAAGATTTAACAGAGAGAGAGAGAGAGGTCTTCTAGCCGATGGTTCACTTCCTAATTGGCCACAAAGGCCAGAGCTGCACCGATCCGGAGCCAGGAGCCTCTTCCGGGTCTCCCATGCCGGTGCAGAGGCCCAAGGATTTGGGCCATCTTCTACTGCTTTCCCAGGCCATAGCAGAGAGCTGGGTCGGAAGTGAGTCTTGAATCGGCACCCATATGGGATGCTGGCGCTTCAGGCCAGGGTGTTAACCCGCTGGCGCTGGCCCCGATGTATACAATTATTAAAACATACCAAGCAACACCTGAAATTTATGTCTTTGTGGTATATTAATTATATCTCAATAGGAAAAAAGTAATTACATGAAAAAAAGTTTTAAGATTTATTTATTTTATTAGAAAAGCAGAATTACAGAGAGTGAAAGAAGGAAAGACCCATCTTCCATCCAGTGGTTCGACCCCCTATCTGGCCACAGGAGCCAGGAGCTTCTTTCAGGTCTCCCACATGGGCAATAGGGACCCAAGGATTTGAGCCATCTTTCTGCTACTTTCCTGGGCATATTAGGGAGCTGGATTGGAAGTGAAACAGCCAGGACTTGAATCTGCACCCATATGGTGCTTAGTCTGCTGTGCCACAGTGCAGTGCTGGCCCCTTATGGTTCTTCTTGGGACAAATTCCTACCTGGTCTTAGTCCCTAGAATAGTTATTTTTCCTCAAAAACTATTGATGTCGTTTTATCTTAAGGATCCTGTATAACTGATCTAATGTTTTTCTTTATATTATACATTTTATGCTGTGACTCATTCTATATCTCTACTATTGTTTCCCTTTTTCTTTTCATATTCTTTTAATATACATTTTTGTTATCTTTCACATATCCTTAGAAGCTGCTCCAAATCCATTTTGAAATAAAGTGTTATGTACATATCGGCAGTTTTGTCTTAGTATAAATGATGGGATGGGAAGAGTTTCCTTGATCTAGCCATTTTTAGCTCCTGATTCACACTGGTTTTTGCTCAGCTAAATCATCCAAGTCTTTTTTGTATAAATTTGTATAGGTTCTAGTCTCTTCCTTCTTGTTTTCGTGTAGTTGATTTTTCAACTTGGATGAAAACTTTTTGTATGTCCATGTTAAAACTAACAGAGTGTTTTGGCCCCATGTATAGTCTATCTTCTAGGATTCTTCTCAGCCTTTTTTTTTTTTTTTTTTTTTTTTTTTTGACAGGCAGAGTGGACAGTGAGAGAGAGAGACAGAGAGAAAGGTCTTCCTTTGCCATTGGTTCACCCTCCAATGGCTGCCACGGCTGGCGCACTGTGGCCCGCGCACCGCACTGATCCGAAGGCAGGAGCCAGGTGCTTCTCCTGGTCTCCCATGGGGTGCAGGGCCCAAGCACTTGGGCCATCCTCCTCTGCACTCCCTGGCCACAGCAGAGAGCTGGCCTGGAAGAGGGGCAACTGGGACAGAATCCAGTGCCCCGACCGGGACTAGAACCCGGTGTGCCAATGCCACAAGGCGGAGGATTAGCCTAGTGAGCCGCGGCGCCGGCCCTTCTCAGCCTTATCTAGAGATTTAATACACATGCCTTTTGGGTCTTTATTCTTATATTGTACAGATGCAGGCTGGTGACAGGGTTATTTCTCCCAACTGTCTCTGAGTCTTTTAATACTGTTTAGCCAACTGTGACCGCACCTCACTTCTGTCATCAGCTTGTATTTTTGTTTCTTGTGTCTAAGCGTAGCAGAATTCACTGCCGGTGCAGACCTGAAGATTTAGCAGATACCTCAAGTAATTGGGTTCTCAGCTCCTGGCTCCGCCCTAGGGCATTTGGAGTGTGATGCAGCAGTTGGGAGTTAACTCTCTTTCTCTGCTTCTCAAATAAGTTAGAGTCTTGATTATGTCTTTGGTGACTTGGGTTTTTCCTTTTTCCCTGTGACAGTAGAAGCTTCTGAGTCTATTCAGTGTACTATTTCAAATGCTTTCTTAGAAACGTTATTTCTGGGGCTGGCACTGTAGCGTAGCAGGTAAAGCTGCCGCCTGCAGTGCTGGTGTCCCTTATGGGCAGTGGTTCGAGTCCTGGATGTTGTACTTCCCATCCAATTGTCTGCTATAGCCTGGGAAAGCAGTGGAAGGTGGCCCAAGTGCTTGGGCCCCTGCACCCACATGAGAGACCTAGAACTTCTGGCTTTGGATTGGTGCAGCTCCGGCCATTGCAGCCATCTGAGGGAGTGAACCAGTGGATGGAAACCACCCCCCCCCCCCCAAACTCTGGCTTTTAAATTAATAAATAAATCTTTGTTTAAAAATTATTTCTTATTATATATGTGATTTTTAATGTTTTTTTAAATACACATATTCCTTTTTTTTTTTTAATTTTTTTTTATTTTATTTGGAAGAGTTACATAGAGAGAGAAGGAGAGGCAGATAGAGAGGTCTTCCATGTGCTGGTTCACTCCCCAGTTGGCTGCAATGGCCAGAGCTGTGTTGGTCCAAAGCCAGGAGCCAGGAGCTTCTTCCAGGTTTCCCATGTGGGTTCAGGGGCCCAAGGACTTGGGCCATCTTCTGCTGCTTTCCCAGGCCATAGCAGAGAGCTGGATCAGAAGTGGAGTAGCTGGGAATTGGACCAGTGCCCATGTGGGATGCCAGCACTGCAGGTGGCGGCCTTACCCACTATGCTACAGCGCCAGCCCCAATATTTTATTTTTATAATGCATATATTCTGATGTTGACTTTCTTTGTAGCTGCATATCTAATTTGTGTTGAGAAAAGAAAACATCATTAACTTTTAAGAATTTCAGTTGCATTTCTATTTTTGTTATTTCCTATGTAGGACTTGAATAGATTTGTTTATTTTTTAAAATTTGTTTTATTTATTTGAAAGGCAGAGTTAGAGTGAGAGAGAGAGGTCTTCCATCTGATGATTCACTCCCCAAATGGCCTTAGCCACCAGGGCTAGGCCAGGCTGGAGCCAGGAGCAGGGGCCCAAGCACTTGGGCCATCTTCTGCTGCTTTTCCAGGCACATTAGCAGGGAGTTGGATCAGAAGTGGAGCAACCAGGTTTGAACTAGTGCCAGTATAGGATGCCAGTGTTGCAGGCAGCAGTAATAGTATAGAATTTATACCATCATCCCAATGTTTAAAATTTATTTTTAGCAGGAGGGACTTTTTTCAAGCATTGTGTATGAACCTGAATATATAAAATATCAAATCTGTACTGCTTGGGTTAAGATGAGGATGGGGGATCCAGGTGTCAGCCACTCTACCACTACCTTCAGCTTAGCTTGTCCATCCTCTGTGACATATCCAGGGGACCCCAGGGGAGCCTCATCGTCAGTGGTATTTAATCCAGGCCTTATAGACCACACAGCATTCTCTTAGATTAGGGTCTCTTGCACTCTCCTGCTGTCTTGGAATGTGCTGCAGAGACTATGAGATGTTGACAGTTTAACAAGGACTTTTAAATTTCTTCTTGTTTTAAAAGCACTTAGGGCCGGCGCCGTGGCTCACTTGGTTAATCCTCTGCCTGAGGCCCCGGCACCCCAGGTTCTAGTCCCAGTTGGGGCACCGGGTACTAGTCCCGGTTGCTCCTCTTCCAGGCCAGCTCTCTGCTGTGGCCCAGGAGGGCAGCAGAGGATGGCCCAAGTGCTTGGGTCCCTGCATCCGCATGGAAGACTGGGAGGAAGCACCCGGCTCCTGGCTTCGGATTGGCGCAGCGCTGGCTGTGACGGCCATTTGGGGAGTGAACCAGCGGAAGGAAGATCTTTCTCTCTGTCTCTCTCACTGTCTAACTCTGCCTGTCCAAAAAAAAAAAAAAAAAAGGCACTTAGGTGGGTCTTAGAGCTGTTGTATGAACCATATTGATATCTGCAGTCAGGTCTGATCAGCACTCTACTGAATACCATTTCATGTTTATTTAGAATATTTTAAAAATCTAAAGGTTACTGATGTTGTTTTTGAAATGTGCTTTCAAGTATGCTACTGTGGCAGCACCACCCGAGATGTGTTATGTGGAACAGACACAGGGAAGTCTGATGGATTTGGGGACTTCGGCTGTTTAAAGATATGTGGCAAGTAAGGTTTTACATTTTTCTCAGTTATAGTAAAGCTGCATACTATGCAACAATTATGTGCTAACCTGTTGTTTTTCTTAACAGGGATTTGAAATGTGGGAACCATACGTGTTCTCAAGTGTGCCACCCTCAGCCTTGCCAGCCATGTGCACGCCTCCCTCATCTGGTGCGCTATTGCCCTTGTGGTCAAACTCCTCTCAGCCAATTGCTGGAACTTGGAAGTAGTAGTCGGAAAACATGCATGGATCCTGTCCCCTCATGTGGAAAAGTGTGTGGCAAACCTCTGCCTTGTGGTTCCTTAGGTAACTAGTTCACATAAAGTTGACTTTAAAAATATTAATGTAAATGTTTGGCAGCAATGACATTTAAACAAAGTAGCATCAAATACCAGCTGTGGTGTTGGGTTCTTCTAAATATTATTATCAGATTTATATGGTGCCTTTTTCTTCTCAGAGTATGCTTGTGATTTGTCCAAGTGATCCCTCCAGTTCAGGTATTTTATTGCTAACTGGGCAGTAGTAGTGAGATGCTATAAAGTGGGAGGTTATGATTTCTCTTAGCATTCTGCACTACATATATTTTTACTAATCCAAGACGCAGCTCAGCAAGTATTTGAAAACACTTTTTCAGATCATAGAAGCAAGCTAAAATAACTGTAGGTGACAAGTTTTAGAACTGAAATTCTAAGTACAGTAAAATTTCAGCCATTTAAACCATCCAAGGAATGTCATAGGTAAGTTTTTCATCTGTCTGAGAATAACACCTCTTGAACGTTATCTTAGATGAAGACCTTTTGCTCCTTTTTTCTTTTTATTGTGCTGACAGGCAGAGTGGACAGTGAGAGAGACAGAGAGAAAGGTCTTCCTTTTGCCGTTGGATCACCCTCCAATGGCCGCCGCTGCAGCCGGCGCACCGCGCTGATCCGATGGCAGGAGCCAGGATCCAGGTGCTTTTCCTGGTCTCCCATGGGGTGCAGGGCCCAAGCACCTGGGCCATCCTCCACTGCACTCCCTGGCCATAGCAGAGAGCTGGCCTGGAAGAGGGGCAACCGGGACAGAATCCGGCGCCCCAACCGGGACTAGAACCCGGTGTGCCGGCGCCGCAAGGTGGAGGATTAGCCTATTGAGCCACGGCGCCGGCTTAGATGAAGACTTTTCTGAGATTTACATTCTCTTCTTCACACAGGTTACTGAAAATCTTTCCACTTTTGACTCAGAGTAGTGTTTTTTTTTTGTTTGTTTTTTTTTTTAAGATTTATTTTTTTGAAAGGCAGAATTACAGAGAGGCAGAGACTGAGAGAAAGAGAGAGAGAGAGGTCTTCCATCTGCTGGTTCACTCCCTAGATGGCTGCAGTGGCCAGGGCTGTGCCGATCTGGAGCCAGGAGCTTCTTCTGGGTCTCCCACGCAAGTGCAGGGGCCCAGGGACTTGGACCATCTTCCACTGCTATCCCAGGCCATAGCAGAGAGCTGGATCAGAAGTGGAACAGGTGGGACTCAAATCGGCGCCCATTTGAGATGCTGGCACTGCACGCAGTGGCTTACCTGCTATGTCACAGTGCTGGCCCCTTATAAGAATTTTGTATACAATGACCACATGTCCTTCCCTGAGACTTAGGTATCCTGTTGGAGGTAAGAGAAAATGAAAGTGAGCTCCACAAGGCAGCTTGAGCAAGAGAAGGATAGTAACTATCAGTAACAGAGCCTAGGCTGGGACAAAACCAGGCCAAGGGATTAGTAGATCACCACTGTACCTCAACAGGCCTTTCCTCATGGCAAGCTTTGAAAGAGCTAAGCTATGTTGAACTAAGATGACAGGACAAGCCTATGACTAGTGCTAATAACTGCTCTCAAATTGGTTCAGGCCTAGCTTATCTTTAGATAGCTTGTTTAGGTCTTTTAGTATTTTGCACAGTAGGACATTTTCATCCCAGACGAGTGGCTTCTAAACAGGAGGCTGTGGTGGAGTTCTGCTTCATGATAGTATCAGGAGGAGTGCCTCTTGAAGCCACCCCCCAGTAAAGCATTGCTGGGGAAAATTGCCCAAAAGCAACTGTTGACAATTTGGAAATTGTCTTTAATCAAATAAAACTTGGGTATGCAACAGCAAGTGTGTGGTGTTTGAGCCACAGTCCACTCCCTTTCTCTCCCCCTCCGTCCAGCTTGATAAACACTCCACTTGGGATGAATATGGACAGTAATACAGGGCTTTTCTCTCCCCTCAGCTCCCCCTCATTAGGGGCAGACTGTCCACAGTCCTCATTCCCTCCAACTTCAAAGTGAGGAGACTGGATTTCTGATGAGTGCAGCCAAGAGGTGGGGCTCTTTCTACCCAGCCCCACCCACAGGATCGAGATTCTACCCCATTTGCAGCTGAATACCAGAGCCTAGTCATCTTCATCCTAGCTCACTCTGAGGGCAAGCCTTCTTCTTTAGGAGAAGCTGGCCAAAGAGACCAAAAGCTGCCAGCCAGAGTAGTGCCTCAGAGAATTTTCCCAGGGGAGAGGAAGTCCATAAGAAGAGAGCTCCAGAATACTCCCCAAAGGATCTGAGTTGATTTGAAACAGTGGAGAAATTCAGGCCTAAGGGCACTTCAGGAGATAGTAGCTTCTCCTAAGAGCAGTAAGGTAAACTGGAGGACAGCTGGAGAGCTGGTTCACCTGGAGAGCTAGGAAAGGAGATTGCTGAGAGACCAGAAGGCAGTGGAATGGCACAAAGTGCTGAAAGGGGTCTGCATCGTGGCACAACAGGTTAAAATGCCACTTGGGATACCATATCAGATCCTGCTTCCTGCTAATGCATGCTGGGAGGCAGCTGATTACGGCCAAGTTCTTGGATCTCTGCCAGCCACATGGAGATTGGTTAGACTTCCTGGTTCTTGACTTCAGCCTAGCCCAGCCCTGGCTATTGCAGGCATTTGGCGAGTGAACCAGCAAATGGAAAACCTAAGCCACCCCCCTTTCTGTGTGTGTTTGTATGTCTGTCTATCTGTCTTGGTCTCACTTTCATATAAATAAGTAAATAATTAAACTTTTTTTAATAGAAGTTCAAGGAAAACTGTTAATCATGAATCTTAGATCAGCAAAACTGTCTTTCAAAAAGGATGATAAAAACTGGGAGAATGAATCTCTAGCAGACAGACCAGCTTTATAATAAAAACTAAACCAACTTCTTTAGGCTAAAAGCAAGTAATGGGGCTGTTTGGCACATTGGTTAAACTGCCACTTAGATCTCCATATCCTGTATCAGGATGTTTAGGTTCAAGTCCCAGCTCCACTCTTCATTCCAGCATTCTGCTAATACACACTCGGAAGCAGCAGGTGATGACTGAAATACATGGGTCCCTGCCACCCGTGTTGGGACCTGGATTAGATTCTGGGCCCCTGACCTTTAAGGAGTGAACCAGCAGATGGCTTTTGCAGGCATTTGAGGAATGAACCAGCTGATGGGAGATCTCTTTCTGCTTTATAAACAAACAAATGAGAGAGAGGCACACACTTTTATTTATTTATTTAAGATCTGTTTGTTTGAAAGGCAGAGTAACAGAGATGGGGTGTTAGGTAGGAAGTTAGAAATTAGCCTGTGTGTGTGAGAGGGGAGGAATGCAGCAGCATCTGCAGAAGCTCACCTTGGAAGCAGCCCAGTGTTTACAACGCAAAGTCCTGCCCAGCCCCTGAAAACTTTCCAGGTGATCTCAGCCCTTCCCCCCAGGAAAGCTCCCTAGGAGAATTCTCAGCACTACATGGGTTACCTGGCCCGATAGCATGGAGCAATAAAACCTTCACAGCCTTCCTCCAAGCCAGGCACCTTAGGGGAAGCTCTTCTGCCTTGTGCCAGGAGAGCTCCCCAGTCTGATAACACTGAGTAGTAAACCTGGAGAGGAATTTCCTAAGTTACACTCAGCAGAGCAGAAGAAAGAGGGGGTAAAGAGAAACAATGGGAAGAACAAGACCGATTCCTTTAAAAATGGTGTATTCTCTCCATTTAACCATGTAACCTTACTTTCCCCCAGTTTGAGTGACTGGGCACTCTCTGAGGTTCTGCCTGGAGAGGTGCCCATACATTCTTAATGATGCCCTACCCCGCAATAAACCTTGTTACTTTGCTTTCCACTGCTCTCTGTCTCACGCCTGCATTCTTTCTTGTGCAAAGATGAACCCACTCATCTCTGCTAACAGAGAGAGAAAGAGAGCACGTGAGCGAGCACATCTGGCTACTCCCCAAGACCACAATAGTCAGGTCTGGACCAGGCTGAAGCCAGGAGCCAAAAACTCCATCCTGGTCTCCACACAGGTGGCAGAAGCCCAAGCCAGAACTGACACTCTGATAAGGGATACCTGCAGCTTAACCTGCTGCACCACAGTGCCTGCCCTAGAGAGGTGAATCTTTTTAAAACACATAAATTAAAAACTAAAAGCAAGGCTGGCACCTGGGCTCAATAGGCTAATCATCCACCTGCGGCACCGGCACCCTGTGTTCTAGTCCCGGTCGGGGCAGCAGATTCTGTCCCAGTTGCTCCTCTTCCAGTCCAGCTCTCTGCTGTGGCCCGGGAAGGCAGTGGAGGATGGCCCAAGTGCTGGGGCCCCTGCACCACATGGGAGACCAGGAGGAAGCACCTGGCTCCTGGCTTTGGATCAGCGCAGCGCAACGGCCGTAGCGGCCATTTGGGGGGTGAACCAATGGAAGGAAGACCTTTCTTTCTGTCTCCCTCTCTCTCTCACTGTCTAACTCTGTCAAAATAAATAAATAAATTAATTAATTTAAAAAAAAAAACTAAAAGCAAGTAAACCCAGGTAGAACTTCAGATCAGTATGATAAAGAATACTGGTAAAGGTAATTATTTAATTATAAAAGTATACATACATGCTTTTTGTCTCAACAAATTTAAAAAGCAATTGTTTAAAATAATATGCATAAAATTATATTACTAAGCCTCTAAGATTTTGAAGTATATTTCATGTTGACAGCACATAAAAGGTGGATTAAATCAAAGTTGTGTTGGAAATAGGAAATAATACTAGATGATAATTTAAACCTACAGATACAGATGAAGAAAATAGGAATGATAAAGAATATAAATGTAACAAACTATAAATATATGCTTGGTTTATTTTCTCAGCTTCTTTGATAGCTGTGCCATTATATAAAGTTATAATAGTGTAATGTTGGATTTATAACATCCTTGTGATACATACAACAATAATAGCATAAAAGGAGAGAAGAGGAATAGAGCTATTCAGGAATCCTCAGAAGGTTCATGGAAAATGCGTATTATGAGAAAAGTATGCATGGATTTCAAAATTTTTGCACTGAAATAAATTCATACTAATTTTTATAAAATTGATTTTGTTAGAATGATCAAATAGATAGGATTAATTATTAAAGGGATCATATAAATAAGATCAAATGTCTGGTAATAATAGATTTTTTTTTTTTTTTTTTGACAGGCAGAGTGGACAGTGAGAGAGAGAGACAGAGAGAAAGGTCTTCCTTTGCCGTTGGTTCACCCTCCAATGGCCGCCGCGGCCGGCACGCTGCGGCCGGTGCACCGGGCTGATCCGATGGCAGGAACCAGGAGCCAGGTGCTTTTCCTGGTCTCCCATGGGGTGCAGGGCCCAAGCACCTGGGCCATCCTCCACTGCACTCCCTGGCCACAGCAGAGGGCTGGCCTGGAAGAGGGGCAACCGGGACAGAATCCGGCACCTCGACCGGGACCAGAACCCGGTGTGCCGGTGCCGCTAGGCGGAGGATTAGCCTAGTGAGCCGCGGCGCCGGCCAATAATAGAATTAAAAAGGGAAGAATGTTCCAACATGGGAAGCAGTCCACACAGCAGATTCATAGAATGACAATCATTTTAAACAGCACTCTGATCTCAGAATCAGCCCGTAAAACACTCCAGTCTTGCTGAAGACCCCATGAGAGCATTTCAGGCGTGGAAAGCCAAGACACTGGTAAAAAAAAATGTCCTACATGAAGGATCTCTGTGAGAGAGACCCCAGTGAAAAGAAGTGGCCATCAAAGAAGGATGTACTTTTCTCTGAAGGGAAGAGCGAATTTGCATTCTGCTTATGGCCTTGTCTAAATACAGTGGAGACTATGGATTCAAAAGGCTTCCATAACCTTGGCAGCTCATGTCAAGAGCCTTGGTTGGAGCCGGCGCCGTGGCTCAATAGGCTAATCCTCCACCTTGCGGCGCCGGCACACCGGGTTCTAGTCCCGGTTGGGGCGCCGGATTCTGTCCCGGTTGCCCCTCTTCCAGGCCAGCTCTCTGCTATGGCCAGGGAGTGCAGTGGAGGATGGCCCAGGTGCTTGGGCCCTGCACCCCATGGGAGACCAGGAAAAGCACCTGGCTCCTGGCTCCTGCCAGGATCAGCGCGGTGCGCCGGCTGCAGCGGCGGCCATTGGAGGGTGAACCAACGGCAAAAAGGAAGACCTTTCTCTCTCTGTCTCTCTCTCTCACTGTCCACTCTGCCTGTCAAAAAAAAAAAAAAAAAAAAAAAAAAAAAAAAAGAGCCTTGGTTGATCACTGATGTCATACATAAGAGTGTTAATTGTTAAATTAGGCCAGCGCCGCAGCTCACTAGGCTAATCCTCCACCTAGCAGCGCCGGCACACCGGGTTCTAGTCCCAGTAGGGGCACCGGATTCTGTCCTGGTTGCCCCCCTTCCAGGCCTGCTCTCTGCTGTGGCCAGGGAGTGCAGTGGAGAATGGCCCAAGTCCTTGGGCCCTGTACCCCAAGGGAGATCAGGATAAGTACCTGGCTCCTGCCATCGGATCAGCGCGGTGCGCCAGCCGCAGCGCGCTGGCCACGGCGGCCATTGGAGGGTGAACCAACAGCAAAGGAAGACCTTTCTCTCTGTCTCTCTCTCTCTCTCTCTCTCACTGTCTACTCTGCCTGTCAAAAAAATAAATAAATAAAATAAAAAATAAATAAATAAAAATTGTTAAATTAAGAAAAGGAGTCATTGTGCATATACTTCCCATGCAGGACTTCTGTCCCCAATGAGTTGTATTATGAGAATTAACTCTAAAACTTGTTCTCAGTTTGTGTGTGTGTGTGTGTGCAAATTGTTGAAATCTTTACTTAATATAGAGTTGGTCTTCTGTGTATAAAGTTAATTGAAAATGTATCTTAATGGAGAATGGGATTGGGAGGGTAGGTGTGGTGGGAAGAATAACTATATTCCTAAAGTTGTACTTAAGAAATTTGTATTCATTAAATAAAAGGTTTCTTTGGAAGGAAAAAACATAAAAATGTAATATACATATATATTTAAAAGATTGATTTATTTAAAAGGCAGAGTTACAAAGAAAGGGATCTTCCCATCTGTTGACTCACTCCTCAAAGTGGACACAATGGTCTGGACTGAGCCAGGCAAAAGCCAGGAGTCTGGATGGCAAAGGCTCAAGTATTTGGGCTATCCTCATCTGCTTTCCCAGGTACATTAACAGGGTGCTGGATTGGAAGTAGAGCAGCCAGGACTCAAACTGGAGCTCATATGGAATTCTGGCATTGCAGGTGGCAGCTGAACCCACTGCACCGTAACGTTGACCTCTATGCTAAATTTTTTTTTTTTTTTTTTTTTTTTTTTTTTTTTTTGGACAGGCAGAGTGGACATCGAGAGAGACAGAGAGAAAGGTCTTCCTTTTGCCGTTGGTTCACCCTCCAATGGCCACCGTGGCCGGCGCGCTGCGGCCGGTGCACCGCGCTGATCCGATGGCAGGAGCCAGGTACTTCTCCTGGTCTCCCATGGGGTGCAGGGCCCAAGGACTTGGGCCATCTTCCACTGTACTCCCTGTCCACAGCAGAGAGCTGGCCTGGAAGAGGGGCAACCAGGACAGAATCCGGTGCCCCAACCGGGACTAGAACCCGGTGTGCCTGTGCTGCAAGGCGGAGGATTAGCCTAGTGAGCCGCAGCTCCGGCCAATGCTAAATTTTTATAATATGTCCAAGGAGATCTAGTTCGAGGCACTAAGAAAGGTAAGACGTCAGTTGGAAAAGAACCCTTAACAGACCAATGTGAATCCTGTTAAAATTGAAGCAAGAACATAAAATAAATATAAGTTAAACTTAGTGGAAGAATGGTGAAATTACTGGGACAGCACTGTGGCGTAGTGGGTAAAGCCACCACCTGCAGTGCTGGCATCTCACATGGGCACCACTTTGAATCCTGGCTGCTCCACTTCCGATCCAGCTCTCTGCTATGGCCTGGGAAAGCAGTGGAAGATGGCTCAAGTGATTGGGCCCCTGAACCCACGTGGGAGAATGGGAAGAAGCTCCTGGCTCCTGGCTTCAGATTGGCCCAGCTCCAGCTATTGCAGCCATCTAAGAAGTAAACCAGCAGATGGAAGACCTCTCTCTCTCTCTCTCTCTCTCTCTGCCTCTGCCTCTGTCTCTCTGTTAACAAAAGAAAAGAATGGTGAAATTACTGATGCTTTACAGAAAGTTTATAGGGACAGCCCTTTCGCACTTATGGGATCTTTCATTTAGGTACAGACCAATAGATAGAGCCAACACGCCAGTGGCCTGGAGCTGGCTTTGTTACAAAATTTAATGTGACACTTCAAGAAGTTCTGCTTCAACCAAGAACTGAAGCTGATCTGCAAGTATGGGCTCTAGAACAAGCGTGATGTGCGGAGGGTCAAATTTACCTGGCTGAGATCCACAAGGCTGCCGGGGAGCTGCTGACACTGGACCAGAAGGCCCCACAGTGGCTGTTGGAAGGCAACATCCTGCTGCAGCAGCTGGTCTACTTCGGGATGCTGGACAAGGATAACATAAAGCTGGATTGCATCCTGGGCTTGAAGATGGAGGATTTTTTGGAGGGGCGTGTGCAGACCCAGATCTTCAGGCCAGGCCCTGCCAAGTCCATCCACCATGCCTGCATGCTAATCTGCCAGTGCCATATCAGGGTCCACAAGTAGGTGGTGAACATCCTGTCCTTCATCATGCACCAGGACTCCCAGAGGCACATTGACTTCTCCCTGCACTCTTATAGGAGTGACCTCCCAGGCCGCGTGAAGAACTCCAAGAAGGGGCAGGGCAGGCTAGAGGCTGGCAAAGACTGGGAAGATTAAGCCCTTCCAGTCCCTCCTGGGCTGCTGAGGTGTCTGGTTTTCCAGTCAGTTAATAAACAGGGTCCACAAAAAAAAAAGGAAGAAAAATAATAAAGTTTATGGGGAAAATTGTGACAAAGAAATCAGTTTATAATGAATAATTCGTTTTAAGAAGGGACGAGACAATTTTGAAGATGAAGCCCATAGCGACAGACCATCCACTTCAGTTGACAAGGAAAAAATCCATCTAGCTTATGTGCCAATTAAAGAGAGCCGACAGTTTGGGGCTGTTGCTGTGGCGTAGCAGGTTAAGCCACCATCTGCAATGCCTGCATCCCATATGGGCGCTGGTTTGAGTCCTAGCTATTATACTTTTGATCCAGCTCCCTGCTAATGCTCCTGGGAAAGCAGCAGCAGATGGCCCAGTGGGCCCCTGCACCCACATGGGAGACCCAATAATAAGCTCCTGGCTCTTGGCTTCAGTCTGGCCCAACCCTGGACATTAATAGTCATTTGGGGAATGAACCAACAGATGGAAGAATTCTCTCTCTGCCTCTGCCTCTGCCTGTCCCTCTCTAACTCAGCCTTTCAAATAAATAAGTAAATCTTTAAAAAAAGAGGGAACTGACAGTTAACTGCACAGTGGCCAGCAATATAGACATATCACTTGGTTTGGCTTGAAAAATTGAAGCTGAACTGCTTTAATTTTTTTTAGAATCTATTTATTTGAAAGGCCAGGGCCAGTGCTGTGGCATAGCAGATAAAGCCACTGCCTGCAGTACTGGCATCCCATATGGGTGCCCGTTCAAGTCCCGGCTGCTCCACTTCCGATCCAGCTCTGCTATGGCCCAGGAAAGCAGTAGAAAATGGGCCAAGTCCTTGGGCCTCTGCACCGGCATGGGAGACCCAGAAGAAGCTCCTGGCTCCTGGCTTTGGATTGGTAAAAAGACAAAGTTACACAGAGGGAGGGAGAGACAGAAAGAGATCTTCCATCTGTTGGTTCACTTCCCAAATAGCCACAACACCTAGGGCTGGGCCAAGCAGAGCCAGGAGCCAGGAGTTTCTTGTGGATCTCCCACATGGGTATAGGGGCCCAAGCACTTGGGCCATCCTCCACTGCTTTCCCAGGCAGTTGAGCAGGGAGCTGGATCAGAAGTGGAGCTGCTGGAACTCAAACCAGTGCCCATATGGGACGCCAGCATTGCAAGCAGCAACTTTACCGACTTTGCCAGAAGGCCAGTCCCAAACTTTCTATTTGATGGGTGCCAAGACTGTAGCATTCATATCGGCTACATTCAAGAGCAGAGCTTTCAGTGGAAATTCTAAATGAATGGGATCAAGATCCTAAAGCATTTCTTTGAAGAACTGTAACAGGAGATGAAGCATTACTTTACTAGTACAACCCTGAAAACGAAGCACAGTCAAAGCAACAGCTACCAAGAGGTGGAAATAGTCCAATCAAGGCAGAAGTGGACTGGTCAAGAGTAGCGGTCATCATAACAGTGTTTTGCTTGTAGACTTTCTGGAGGGCCAAGGAACAATAACTTCGCTTATTATGAGAGTGTTTTGAGAAAGCCCAAGTTTTAACAGAAGAATGTCTAGTTCTTCTTCATTATAGTAATGCTCCTGCTCATTCCTTTCATTAAACAAGGGCAGGTGCCATAGCTTCAAAGGAAAACCTTCAAACCTCTGATAGGGCTCCTCCTGACTCTTTTGTTTCCTAAGCATAAAAAATTTTTAAAAGCACCCATTTTTCTTCATTTAATAATGTAAAAAACCTACATTGGCATGGTTAAATTCCCAGGACCCTCAGTTCCTTCACAATGGGCTAAATGGCTTGATTGTCACTTCCAAGTGTCACTTGCAGGTGTTTTGAACTTGATAGGATTTATATCGAGAAGAAAGTTTGTATTTTTATGTTTGTCTTTTAATTCCATTTTCCATGAACTTTTTGAAGTCACCTCACATAGGAGTGAAGCTTCAATATCTCACTGGATTTAAGTCTGGATTAGCTTCTTCTGGGATGTTTGTGGTACGTACGACAGCAACCATTAAGAAAATAACTTAAAAAAGCACAGTAGGGCCAGTGCTGTGGCGCAATACTTTTAATCCTCTGCCTGTGGTGCCGGCATCCCATATGGGCACCAGTTCTAGTTCCAGCTGCTCCTCTTCTGATTCACCTTTCTGCTATGGCCTGGGAAAGGTGGTGAGGATGGCCCAAGTGCTTGGGCCCCTACACCCACGTGGGAGACCCAGAGAAAGCTTCTGGCTCCTGGCTTCGGATTGGCCCAGCTGTGGCTGTTGTGGACATTTGAGGAGTAAACCAGCAGATGGAAGACCTCTCTCTCTTTCTCTCTCTCTCTCTCTCTCTTCCCCTACCCCCCCCCCCGCCCCGCCTCAGCCTCTTTGTAACTCTGCCTTTCAAATAAATAAATAAATCTTTAAAGAAAAAAAACTTTATGGAAGTGAACTAAAAGATGTTTGTTTAAAAAAATAAATAAATGTGAGTGAGTTAAATGAACCAAAGCAGAGAATTTTTTTTCAGACTGTATTTTAAAAGTCTAATTCCATGCTATCTTGAACAGAGAAACTTTAGAGCTAAAGAAAGAAGTAAAAAGTTAAAGGATGGAAAAATGCATCATGTGAATGGTAGTCAAAAAAAAGATCCCCAAGGGGTCCTTAAAACAAGACTTGCCCTAAATTTAGTTTAGCCGAGTGAACATCTGTGAAATTACGGATTTTTTGTGATCCTCAGCTGGCTTTCAGAATCAAGAGTATATCAGTGACATTATCCAGGGCTTCAGTTTTAGGGAGATCTAAATCTTAGATCTGGAGGCTTACGGCCTAAAGAAAGAAAATCTGTTCTTTTACTTGGGGAAAATACCATTACGTCACAGCATGTTCCGGTGACTGTGCTGGGATCTGTTCTTACCAGAAGCGGCCAAGCCTGCAGTTGAAGGGATGACTGGGAAAGAAACATCAACTGTGTCCTTCTTCCCTCAACTCTGATTCTGGAATTGCAGGGACGAGAGGTGGAAGACCAGTGTGGCCAGTGATTTGGGGAACATGAAAATGAGTAGTAAATTTCACTCCTCTTTTCATTTTTATTAAAGATTTCATTCATACCTGTGAAAAGTTCTGCCATGAAGGAGACTGTGGACCATGTTCTCGCACATCAGTTATTTCCTGCAGATGCTCTTTCAGAACAAAGGTAAATCCAAACAATGCTAGAGTTGTTGCCATCGGTGAACCTCAGTTCTATTTCCATATTATGTATGATTCACTGAATCCAGCTAATACATACTGATACATACTGTGGGCCAGTTACATGATGTAGGTATGCAGTTCTCCTGTCTCAGAAACCCATAGTGGGAGTAGGACAGATGCGAATAGATCTACTAAATACAAGTGTGATGATGCTCAGTGCCTGAAAAGAGGAACAGTGGCTCTGTTGCAAGGAGTTAGCTAACTAAGAAGACGGTCCAGTGCCAAGGTGTAGCGGGCAAAGCCACCACCTGCAATCCGAGCATCCTTTATTCTTTTTTTTTTTTTTTTTTTTTTTTTTTTTGACAGGCAGAGTGGACAGTGAGAGAGAGAGACAGAGAGAAAGGTCTTCCTTTGCCGTTGGTTCACCCTCCAATGGCCGCCGCGGCCGGCACGCTGCGGCCGGTGCACCGGGCTGATCCGATGGCAGGAACCAGGAGCCAGGTGCTTTTCCTGGTCTCCCATGGGGTGCAGGGCCCAAGCACCTGGGCCATCCTCCACTGCACTCCCTGGCCACAGCAGAGGGCTGGCCTGGAAGAGGGGCAACCGGGACAGAATCCGGCGCCCCGACCGGGACTAGAACCCGGTGTGCCGGCGCCGCAAGGCGGAGGATTAGCCTAGTGAGCCACAGTGCCGGCCCCAGCATCCTTTATTGAGTCCTGGCTTCTCCACTTCTGATCCAGCTCCCAGCTAATAGACTGGGAAAGCAGCAGAGTATGGGCCAAGTACTTGGGCTCCAGCACCCATGTAGGAGGCCTGGAAGAAGCTGGCTGCTGGCTTCAGTCTGTCCCAGCCCTGGCCATTGTGGCCATTTGGGGAGTAAACCAGCAGATGGAAGATCTCTCTCATTGTCTCTCTCTATATATTTCTGCCCTTTGAATAAAAAAAAAAAAAAAAAACTTAAAAAAAAGGAAACCCAGTCCACACACTGCCCTCACTTCTGACACCCAGTGCAAGAGTTTAGATAACTGCTAAATTAGAACAACCTATAGGACTATCCACCTTGGATACCAGCTACAAGTTCCATGGTCCCCAAGACCACCCTCAAGGCTTTATAATTTGGTGGAAAGATTCACCAAACTTACTGAATAAAAACATGGTTATGGTTTTATTATAAGGAAAAGATAGATTAAATTGAACCAAGAGCAGACTCCAGACTCCATGAAAGTACATGTGGAGTTTCACTTGTCTTCTCCCTGTAGAGTCAGGACAGCATTACTTTTCCCATGTCAGCGTAGGATGATACGGAAGATTGCCAGCCTGGGAAACACTCAAGCATGCGTGTTCAGAGTTTTTAATTGGAGCTTGATTGAGGACATAGGTTTGACTGCCCATGTGTCTGATCTCGGGCTCCAATCTCCAGAAGTCTACTCTAAGACTATTCAGTATGACCAGCCTGCTGGCAACTCAGTAGTAGTAGTAGTAGTAGTAGTAGTAGTAGTAGTAGTAGTAGAAGACCACCTAGCGATGCAAGGCCACAGTGACATTCCTAACAGGCATGGCGTCCGTAAAGCCTAGACACTGCCTCTCAGAAGCCAAGTGCAAAGGCCAGACCCGTTTGGGTAATGTTAATTCTTCACTGTACAGCTGTTTTGTCAGTTTCTACTTTCTACTCTAGGTAGTTTTGATTTGATTTGATGTTATAAAGGGGTTAGAGTAAGTGCCCATTCCTGTGTCTGTAATGAGAAGAGGCAGGAAGTCTTCCTGTGGAAGTCCTAGGGTGACCCAGTGTGTGGAACATACTGAGCATTGGATGTGAATTCTGGATAGTTAGTTCTATTGGTTAAATGTAGCCCAAGGTCTAGGCAGCTTTACCAACTTGATAATGATTCCATAAATTGGAAGTTAATAGTAGACTTAAGGATAAAAAGGGAAAAGATGTAAAAGTGATATAATTTATGAGACAAAAGTTGTATATTCTATGAGGGTTTTTTTTCCATCAGAAATCACAGTATATATGGGGCAATGGAGGTATTTTGAATATGGAGTACAGGGCCACTTTTTACTTCATAAATGCCAAATTAAAAGCTGTGCGATTGATTAATCATTAATTTAGCAATGCCCCAAGTTGCTCTTTTTGAACAAAAATTACAAAGCTGGGATGGGTAAACCAGAGAGCGCTGCTGTCAATTTACTTTTTCTGCTCTGCAGTCCCTTCCTCTGTGTTCTTTCTTCTTTGTCCTCACTGCCTCAAATAGTGGACCCCATGGCAGTGAGTGTATTCTTGAAAAGCCATGTATATTTTGGAGTAAAGTCTTATATAATTGCTAGAAGAGCCCAATCATTACCAGTATGAGTTGTTGTGTTGTTTTTTGTTTTTTGTTTTTTTTGTTGTTGTTGTTGTTTTGTTTGTTTTTTTTTTTTTTTTTTTTTTTGACAGGCAGAGTGGATAGTGAGAGAGAGAGAGACAGAGAGAAAGGTCTTCCTTTTGCCGTTGGTTTACCCTCCAATAGCCGCCACAGCTGGTGCGCTGTGGCCAGTGCACCGCGCTAATCCAAAGGCAGGAGCCAGGTGCTTCTCCTGGTCTCCCATGGGGTGCAGGGCCCAAGCACTTGGGCCATCCTCCACTGCCTTACCAGGTCACAGCAGAGAGTTGGCCTGGAAGAGGGGCAACCGGGACAGAATCCAGCGCCCTGACCGGGACTAGAACCTGGTGTGCCTCATTGTTTAACTAGGTTTTGCATGAATACTTTTTGTAATGGAATGAGCTTTTCCACATAAGTGAGTTTTCCAGATAAATGAAACATTTCTTAAAACCTCAAAGGTTGTTTTCATCACTTTGGTGGGGAGTCTGTGCATTTTTGTATGCTCTCTCTTAGTACCCCTTATAAAGAATGCGCCAAGTTTTTATTGGTAATTCATGTACAGGGATTAGTGGGAGTTCTGTCTTTCCCCACATTTTTAGATACCACTCCACCATGTAATTTCTTGTGTAGTGTCCATTACTGGTATTGACAGGCACATTTACTCAAGCAATTTCAATCTATAAAGAGCACATAGGGAACTTTTTCTTATCTTCAATCTCAGCTAACTCATGTTTTATCTAAAATGTGTATTTTTTTCACTGACAACGTTCAATTTCTCAGACTTCTTCACATCTGTTACCAAATCTTGTGGCTGCTTTTTTCCTCAGTCATTTTTACAAGAAGGGATGTTTTTGGGTAGATAGCAACTTGTAAATTATATCAAAGTGAAATTCAGGTGTAGATGCTGCTGGACAGCCAGCCAAGCTCATTTCACTGCTGGACTCAGTCCCTCCACACCAGCCTGGCTACATGCTCTTTGGGATCATGCCTCAGTACAATTACATGTGATAGACCCATGGGGCCACTCACATATTTGAAACCACAGTAATAAAACTTCAGAGGCCAAGGAGCTGCTGGTTCACTTTGCTACAGTTTGTTGGTATGGTCAGGGTGCCCCTGAGGGTGAAGAGATGTTCACCTCTGTGGTAAGTGGCACCAGACTGTTACCTATTTTTAGTTCTTTGTCTTTTTTTCCCTTAAGATTTATTTATTTATTTATTTATTTGAGAGGCAGAGAGAAAGGTCTTTCATGTGCTGATTCACTTCTCAAATGGCTGCAACGGCCAAAGCTGAGCTGATCTGAAGCCAGGAGCCAGGAAGTTCTTCCAGAAACCTTATGTGGGTGCAGGGGCCCAAGGAGTTGGGCCATCTTCCGTGGCTTTCCCAGGGCATAGCAGAGAGCTGGATTGGAAGTGGAGCAGGTGGGACTCGAACCAGCACCTATATGAAATGCTGGTGCCTCAGGCAGAGGCTTAGCCCACTATGCCATAGTGTTAGCCCCTATTTTTAGTTCTTAACATTTGCTTTTTATGGCTTCTTCTGTCTGTACCCTGTCCAATAATTATATTTGTTTTGCATACCTTTAGCAGCCCTGTTTCCATTCGTGATTTATAATTACCTAATCTGCTGTGAATTTAGAGACCAGACCGCAAAGATTGTTAGGACTGTTTATATATGGGAAGTCAGTAAACCTGAGGTCTTGTTGTGAGTGAGGCATGTTAATAAAGGGATTGGGCTAGCTGCAGTCAGGTTTAGTTGGTAGTAATAAGCAGCTATCAGAGAATACAGGATATATGGAATATGTGTGATATATGTAGCATTATACTATAGTTGTTGTTTCAGTTATTCCTAATATCGTTACTGTATTTGTTTTTCTTTCTCCATAGGAGCTTCCATGTACCAGTCTCAAAAGTGAAGGTATGAAAGGGCAGGGACATGAGGGAATTTTCTGGGATGAAGGTAATTGTCTATATTTTGATAGTTGGGTTATATATGAGGGTACTTCAAAAGGTTCGTGGAAAATAGAATTAGCCGGCGCCACAGCTCACTAGGTTAATCCTCTGCCTGCGGCGCCGGCACCCCGGGTTCTAGTCCCGGTTGCGGCTCCAAATTCCTGGTCTCCCATGCGGGTGCAGGGCCCAAGCACTTGGGCCATCCTCCACTGCCTTCCTGGGCCACAGCAGAGAGCTGGACTGGAAGAGGAGCAACCGGGACAGAATCCGGCGCCCCAGTTGGGACTAGAACCCAGGGTGCCAGCGCTGCAGGCAGAGGATTAGCCAAGTGAGCCGCGGCGCCGGCCTGCAACTTCCTTTTTTGATATACATATGTACTGCAGCAGTTTATATGCCCATCTTCTGTGTATGCGTGTACCTTTTTTTCCATACCTTCATCCACACCATATATTAAATTGGTCTTGCTATTTGCTATTTTTTGATCATTCGATGGGTGAAAAATGACATATTAATATGCATTTTCACTATTACTAATCTATTTATATTATTATCTTTTTATTTCTTCAGGCTATGATCACTCAGTTATTTGGTGGCTCAATATTCATATCCTTTCTCTGTTTTTCTTTTCTCTTTAATTGGTCATAGCAGATGCTACATTTATGTGTGACAAGCGATGTAACAAGAAACGGTTGTGTGGACGGCACAAGTGTAACGAGATATGCTGTGTGGTAAGTGGACTTATCTTAGGATGATCAGATTCCGTTCATCGTGGTTGGGCTTTGGAAGCTTCAGCCTTCTGGAAAGCAGCCCAGATTTGGAAATCACTGTGAAAAGACCTAAGCACCAGTCAGAGAGCTCTCACAGTCCCCACACCCTCTCAGCAAAGAGACAGGCTGGGCCGTTTTAGGCCTCAGCCAGGTCAGGTAGTCAGCTGGGGCATCCAGTGGTAACATGGAGGAGAAAGAGGAACGACAGGAGACCTCAGGCCCTGCCAGAGATTTTTCCACAGCCTGGCCTGTACCTGGCAACTTAGGCTTCAGGTTTCTTGTGCTACTCCTTCAGCCAGGCCAGGAGACAAAATGAGGTTGGCATTTGATAGAGCAGCAAGGTAGCACAGTACCAGTAGCAAGGTATTACATTTATACATTTATGTATGTATATCAAATACAGAATTGTTATATTAAAAATTTGTATATTGACAAGGTAAAGAGTGATAAATTGTGCTGAATACCAAGATTCATAAGCTTAGAGTCTTCCCCTTACTTTATGGAGTTTCAACTGTAGACAAAACAAGCTTGGATATTGACACCTCAGTATGCAACCTCAGTTTCAGAAGTGACTAACTCATGACTGGCCTTGTTTCACCCGTATCTCACATACTGCCCATCGCTGGATTTTTTGAAGCTCTTCCCAGACATCAGTTCATCCGTGTATGTCAGACTTTGTTCATCTTACTGCTGTTTAAGGAAAGTACAAAATAGAGATGATTGTATGAACAAACATAAATCTCTTTTCTCAGGATAAGGAGCACAAGTGTCCCTTGATTTGTGGGAGGAAACTCCGGTGTGGCCTTCATAGGTGTGAAGAACCTTGTCATCGTGGGAACTGCCAGGCATGCTGGCAAGCAAGTCGGTGTCTTTACTATAAAAATTTTCTAGAAAATCAGAAATAATATATTTTGAGGGTTTGTTTTACTTAGATTCATATGAATATTGAACCAAGCCTTAGCATTTCAGATATGTTGGCACAAAAAATGTTCTTTCTAGTGCTGTGTTATAGTCCCTGGTTGTATGAAGCAGAATGTGAACAATGATCTTGAAATGAGGCCTGGATCATTCAAAAATTTCTCCTCTGCTGCCTGCCTAGGTTCTGTCCTCAGCATTCTTCTTTCTCTGTATTTTTAGCAGCAGTTTGACAACTTTTGGGTTTTAGAACTCATATACATTTTTAGAAATGATAGAGGATACCAAAGAGTTCTTTTTATTTTAATTATATGTACCTAAGTCTACTCTACTACAAATGAAAACTGAGAATTTCTTTCTTTAAATATGTAATTATTTGAAAGGCAATTAAAGAGAAGCAGAGGCAGAGAGAGGTGCTTCCATCTGCTGGTTCACTCCCCAAATGGCCACAACAGCTGGAAGTGGGCCAGTCTGAAACCAGAAGCCTGGAACTTCTGTGTCTACCACATGGGTGTAAGAGACCAAGGACTTGGGCCATCTTCCGCTGCTTTCCCAGGCACATTAGCAGGGAGCTGGATTGGAAATGGAGCAGCCAGGACTCAAACTGGTGGCCATGTGGGATTCCAGTACTGCAGGCAGCGGTTTTACCCACTGCACCATGACCCCAAAACTGAGAATATTTTTAGAATAATTTATTTAATTAAAAATAATAGTAACTTTTTTAAAAAATTATATTTTCCAAGAAAATAGTAAAAACAGTGGATGCCTAGTTTGATAAAGGTAACTGGATTTTCATAGCTGCTTCTGCATTCAATCTATTGCAGTATACTTGAAAAATTCAGCTTCACACAGATAATTTGAAAAGGAAAGTGTACTTTAAAGGTTTTTTCAGGGCCAGCGCTGTGGCATGGTAGGTTAATCCTCCGCCTGCAGTGCCGGCATTCTGTATGGGCACCAGTTCTAGTCCCAGCTGCTCCTCATCCAATCCAGCTCTCAGCCATGGCCTGAGAAAGCAGTGGAAGATGACCCAAGCACTTGGGACCCTGCACCCACATGGGAGACCCGGAAGAAGCTCCTGGCTCCTGGCTTTGGATCAGCACAGCTCTTGCTGTTGCGATAATCTGGGGAGTGAACCAGCAGGTGGAAGACCTTGCTCTCTTTATCAAATAAGTAAATAAAATCTTAAAAATTAAAAAAAATTTCAAATAACTGTAGATATTCTTTGATATTACACCAAGTTTAACTTTGTTTCAAGAAGTACTTAGTATTTTTGTTGTTGTTCTCTGTGATATTAAATTTCACTGATCTCTCTTGTACTTTTAACCCATACATAATAGTATGCATTGATCATTTGGAATTAAACATTCATTGGATTATGCAGATCTTTACAATGTTGACAGATTTCATATTACAATACTAAAACTCGTAGTCGTTAATGAAACCTCCAGTCAAATCAGAAACATGCCGGGAAGAGTAGTGTGGGAAGGTGATATACATTTATTAAATAAAAAAGAAAAATAGAGACAAAACCAAAAGATTGAAATTAAATTGTCCATTATAGACACACACTTTTAAAAAAAAGATTTATTTATTTGAAAGGCAGAGAGAGAGGTATTTCATCTGCTGGTTAACTCCCCAAATGGCTGCAATGGCCAGAGGTGGACCGATCTGAAACCACAAGCCAGGAGCTTCTTCTGGGTCTCCCCTGTGTGTGCAGGGTCCCAAGCACTTGGACCACCTCTACAGTTTTCCCAGGCCATTAGCAGAGAGCTTGATCAGAAACAGAGCAGCTGGGACTTGAACCAGTGCTCATATGGGATGCTGGCACTGCGAATAACAGCTTTACCCATTACGCCACAATGCCAATTCCCACACGCCTTTTTTTATAAAATATTTATGTGAAATAATCTGAGAGAACAAAAGAGAGATATCTTCCATCCTCTGGTTCATTCCCCAAATGGCCACAACAGCCAGGGCTGGGTCCAGGCCAAAGCCAGAAGCTTCTTCTAGGTCTCCCACGTGGGTGTCTCAGCCCAAGCACGTGGACCATCTTCTGCTGCTTTCCCAGGCACATTAGTAGGGAGCAGATTGGAAGTGGAGCAGCTGGATCTTGAACCAGCACCGCTATTGGATGCCGGCTCTGTAAATGGTGGTTTAGCCCGCTGCGGCACAGCACCAGCCCCAGTGTCACTTTCTGACAGTTAACACTGTGCAAGATTATATATTTGCTTTTTTTTTCCTAGAATAAAAGTGGGATACTACTGAACCTAATTTTTTTAAGGTTTATTTATTTGTTTGTTTGAAAGAGAGTTACAGAGATAGACAGACATCTTCATCTGCTTGTTCAGTCCCCAAATGGCTGCAATGGCAGGAGCTAGGGCAGGCCAGAACTAGGAGCTTGGAACTCCATTTGGGTCTCCTATGTGGGTGCAGAGGTCCAATCACTTGAGCCATTCTTTGCTGCTCTACCAAGTGCGTTAGCAGAGAGCTGAATTGGAAATGAGTAGCCAGGATTCAAACCAGCCCTCATTGGGGATGCTGTATCACAGACAGTGACTTAACCTGCTGTGCCATAGGACCAACCCCTGAACTTAATGATTTTCCATAGGTTCCATAGGTTTTTTTATCTTACTATATTTGTTTTTTTGTTTTGTTTTGTTAAAAGATTTATTTATTTGAAAGGCAGAGTGACAGAGAGAGAGGTCTTCTGTCCACTGGTTCACTCTCCAGATGGCTACAACAGCCGGAACTGAGCCCATCTGAAGCCAGGAGCCAGGAGCTTCTTTGAGGTCTCATGTGGGTGTGAAGGCTTAAGCACTTGGGCCATCTTCTACTGCTTTCCCAGGCCATAGCAGAGAGCTGGATCTGAAGTGGAGCAGCCAGGACTTGAACTGGTGCCCATATGGGATGACAGCACTGTAGGTGGCGGCTTTACCCATTCTGCCACAGCTTTGGTCCCTGTCTTACTGTATTTGTAATCTCTGTCCTTGTCAGCAAATATTTGTCTACAATAGAGTTGTGTTTTTTTGTTTGTTTGTTTGTTTTTAGGCTAAGAAACAGAGCTTCCATCTGCTGATTTCATTCCACAGACACCTGCAACAGCTGGGTCTAGGCCAAAACTAGGAGCCAGGAACTCAATCCAGGTCTCTCCCATGAGTGATGAAAACACAACCACTTGGGCTATCACTGCTGCCTCCCAGGATCTGCATTAGCAAGAAACTGGATTCAGAAGACAGAGGCAGGCACCTATACAGAATGTGTGCATCTTACCCTCTAGAACTGTCTGTCCCAAAACAAATTTTTTTTTTTTTTTTTTTTTTTTTTTTTTTTTACAGGCAGAGTAGACCGTGAGAGAGAGAGACAGAGAGAAAGGTCTTCCTTTGCCGTGGGTTCACCCTCCAATGGCCACCACGGCTGGCACACTGCCGCTGGCGCACCGTGCTGATCCGAAGGCAGGAGCCAGGTGCTTCTCCTGGTCTCCCATGGGGTGCAGGGCCCTAGTACTTAGGCCATCCTCCACTGCACTCCCTGGCCACAGCAGAGAGCTGGCCTGGAAGAGGGGCAACCGGGACAGAATCCGGCACCCCGACCAGGACTAGAACCCGGTGTGTCAGCGCCGCAAGGTGGAGAATTAGCCTAGTGAGCCGCAGCGCTGGCCCCCAAAACAGATTTTTAATGGCAACAAAGTGTTCTATTACATTGATGTGGGGTAGCTCAGGGTGTAGTCATACAAGGAAGGCTTTGTTGTGGAGGGTGAGTTTTGATGAACTGCTGTTTTTAGCAGTAATGAATTTGATAGGATTCATCAGAAGCATTTTAGATGGAATAAATAGAGATGTTTAAGCAGTTGCTATCTAAGAAGGGCCAAGAGAGTGTGCAGACAATGTGGCTATGCTGCAAGAGATGAAATGGGAGATACCTCCCTCTCTGCTTATCTTGGCATATCTGCCCCTGTGCTCATCACCACCATTGGATTTCTTTTACCCCACTCATACGCAGCTCTTCAGCACTTTGATATAAAGGCGGGAACTTTTTACTTTCCTATGACCATTTTAAAAAGTACTCCTGGGGTGAGTGTTTGATAAAGCAGTTAAGATGCTGCTTGGGATACCTGCATCCCAATTGGAGTCCCTGGTTCAAGTGCCAGCAATTCTGTTTCTGATTCAGCTTCCTGCTAAAGCGCATCCTGAGGCAGTGGATTATGGCTTTAGTACTTGGCTCCCTGCCAACCACAGGAGAGCCCTAGATGGAGTTCCAAGCTCCTGGCTTCAGCCTAGCCCAGCAGTGGCTATTTTAGATCTTCCAGTGAATGGAAGAACTGTCTGTTTCTCTGCCTTTTAAATAAAATGAAAATGAGCAAAGAATTTAAATAAGTAAAAAGTACTCCCAGCTCCTGAATTTAAAAGTTCCATATCTTGGGGCTTGCGTTGTGGCCTAGCAATGCTGGCATCCCACATGGGCACCAGTTTGAGACCTAGCTGCTCCATTTCCGATCCAGCTCCCTGCTAATGCACCTGGGAAAGCAACAAAAGATGGCCCAAGTCGTTGGGCCCCTGAGCCCACATGAGAGACCTTGAAGAATCTCCAGGCTCCTAGCTTTGGCCTGGCCCAGCCCCAACCATTGCAGACATTTGTGGAGTGAACCAGCAGATGGAAGATTTTTCTCTCACTCTGTCTATCCTTCTCTCTGTAACTCTGCCTTTCAAATAGTATTTTTTTTTTAAGATTAAAAAAAAAAAGTCCACATCTTGGGACTGACACTGTAGCAAAGCAGGTAATACCACCACCTGTATGCCAGCATCCCATATGGGCACCAATTCAAGCCTCGGTTGCTCCATTTCTGATCCAGCTCCCTACTAATACACCTGGGAAGGCAAATGAAGGTGGCCCAAGTGCTTGGGTCTCTGCATCCCCGTGGGAGACCCAGAAGCAGCCCCTGGCTCCTGACTTTGGATTGGCCCAGCTCCAGCCATTGTGGCCATTGGGAAGTGAACCAGCAGATGGAAGATTTGTCTGTAACTGCCTTTCAAATAAAATAAATAAAATTTTTTTAAGTTCCACATCACATGCTATTTATAACATGGATTTTATTTGGTTTATGTGGTTTTCTTTAGAAATTATTTCCACTATTCCCTTTCTCTTTTTGCAGTGTATCATTCTTGTCACAGTGAGGAGAAGTGTCCCCCTTGTACTTTTCTAACTCAGAAGTGGTGCATGGGCAAGCATGAGGTAGGTTTTCTCATGTGTTCATTGTTCCAGCCCGAGATTAACTATTTCATTGCTTCAGAGTTGTTAGTCTCAGCGTTTCCCACTGTAAATACATTCTAAGCAGAAGCTTTCTGCTGCTACTTCTCTTTTTCATTTTAAAGGTATAATTTGCATGTAAAAATGTTACTCTTTTTACTGTATAGATCTGTGAGTTTTAACAAAAGCATTCATATAATCATGTTACCACCATCACAATCAAGATGTAGAACAGTTTCATTCACCCCCAAATATTCCTTCATGCCCTCCAATACTCTCTGTCCTAGCCGTCCATGACCTGGCAACCAGTGGTTTGTTTGTTACCTGTCTCAATACTGTAAATTTTTCAGAATGTCACAAAACTGGAATCATAGAGTATGTGGCATTTGGACTCTGTTGATCTAATTACAACCAAACAAAATCAGCCAGTTAGCCTTGAGAGCCTGTGCTGAAGATAAATTCTAGGTTAACCAGCCTAGGGAGAGGTTGCTGGCCTGGCAAAACTGTTTCAGGGAAAGCATCCTAGGCATAGAGGTGGGTTATCCACCTGCCGCCCCTGTTCTTTGTTCTAAACCCTATGTAGTTTCCCCTCATAACTTCTAGATCAAAGTGCCTTCTGCTAGTCTCAGAACTCCAGATTGCCAGTGTCCTCAAGGACTTTCTTTATTTAATTATTGAGATTTATAAAAGAGAAAGAGATCTTCAGTCCCTCATTCACTCCCCAAAATGGCCACAGTAGCCAGGGCTGGGCCAGGCCAAAGCTAGGAGCCTAGAGCTTCATCTGAGTCTCCCACATGGGTGGCAAGGGCCAAAGCACTTGGGTCATCTTTTGCTACCTTCCCAGGTGCATTAGCAGGATCTGGAGCTGGATCAGAAGTGGAGCAGCCAGGACTCTAACTGTTGCCCATATGGGTTGCTGGTGTCCCAAGTGGTAGCTAAACCACTAGGCCACATCATGGACCCCAGGACTTCTATTCTTAACTTCTAAGCCATATTTGGCATTGTCACCTATAGACCCTTTAAAACACTGAAAATAATGGAGACCACGGTGGAGTTTCAGGCTCTTGGCTTCAGCTGTTGTGGCCATTTGGACCACTTATCTCTGTGTCTCTCCCTTTCTCTTTGTATTACTCTGCCTTTCAAATAAACAAATATTTTAAAAATGAAACAAAATAAAACAATTTTTTTATTTTAAAGATGTTTATTCATTGTAGTTCTGCTACCAAGAAAGAACTCTTTTAACGTTTTGCTGTGTCATCCACCAGGCATGTGTGATACATCCTTTCCCTACTATAATTAAGATTATATTGTTTTGTTACCTGCTCATTTTTTTTTTCATAATATGTTGGCCAACAGTTCTTGAAACTCTCTTGACATCTATAACAACATGCTGTCAGTATCATTTTCTTATCTTAATGGGCGTATTTTTCTCCACTTCCTGTGGGTGGTTCTCAAGTTGCAGTCCTTGGCATTTATTCTTTCTCTGTAAGTTTATTCTAAGACATCTATGAATCATGTTTTTGTTAATACCTTATTCATACTTCATTCAGCAAATATTAGTTGGAAGCCTATTGTGTGCTGGGTAATGGGCTAAGTTTGGTTGATTCAAAAGTGGACAGAATTGACATTATGGCCTTTGAGAGCCTTTGCTCTGGGCTGGGAAGCAGACATATAACCAGCAATAATGGAAATATGGAGTACTGAGTGTATAGGAGGGCTTCCTACTCAAGGAAGGCTTACTGAAGGAAGTAACATCCCAAAGCAGAGTGAGCACATGGGTAAGTAATGTGCGGAGCGGATGACAGAGCAGAGGGCTGAGTGTGCAGAAATTACCCCAGTGCCCTGGTGATAACAGAAGGACGGGCTTGAGACTGGGAACTGCACTCTACCAAGGCAACTGAAAACACATATGTCCTGGTTTTCAGGGGTCTCTTCAAGGGTGGAAGTTACATGTCACTGGAGTAGAAGTGCATTTTTCATTTTGAGGGTTCTTGAAAGAATTTGAGTGAATATAATGAGTAACCTTTGGTTCCACGGAGTAAAATTCTAACACTTGTATCCTGCATTAGGGAAGCCCAAAAGCAGATAATTTGTTTGAAAGGTGGAGAGACCACCCTTCTGCTTGTTTAGTCCTCAAATGCGCACGGTGGCCAGGGGGCTAAAATCAGGAGCCAGGAACTCAATCCAGGCCTCAGGTGTCAGTGGCAGGAACACCTACCTGATTCATCATGACTGCCTCTCAGGCTGTGTGTTAGCAGGAAGGAGCTAAATCCAGACACTCCAGTGTGGGACATGGTGTCCTAACTGCTACCTCACTATTCCCAATGCCTACCCCACCTCTTAATTTTTTAAATGACAGGTCTGCCTGAAATTGTGGAGACCATAAACTGAGATATAAGAACTGAATATTTAGCTACATAAAAGAATCCTACCATCAGTCCCAGAACCCTGGATCAGGTTGCCTACCCGCTCCCAGGATGTAGGGTTGATCTGTCAAGTCATGCTGGCAGTTTGTCATAGCATTTTTCTTGTATTTTTTTTCAAATATTAAATAAGCAAATAAATAAAGCAGAGTTACAGTTTACAAATGCTTTAAGGAGAAGTTAAAACACCCCCCAAGTCTCACACAGAGATGAGAATCTGGCTACTTCTGTCTCTCCTAGTTACGCAGCAACATCCCCTGTCATCTGGCTGATATCTCTTGCGGATTACCCTGCAGTGCCATGCTGCCATGTGGGATGCACAAGTGTCAGAGACTCTGTCACAAAGGAGAGTGTCTTGTGGATGAGGCCTGCAAGCAGCCCTGTACTACCCCCAGAGCTGACTGTGGCCACCCATGCATGGCACCCTGCCACCCCAGCTCACCCTGCCCTGTGACTGCTTGTAAAGCCAAGGTGGGTATTCCTGGATCCAATGGTGGCTTAGACTGTGGTTCTGGGGCTACTATTAAGTTTGGAACTGTCTGCATCTTAATTAGGAGTTACTAGTTGCAAAGAACTGCAAGTTAAGTAAGCAAGAAAAAGTGACATTAGTCATATAGATTTATTTTCTTCTTCATCCCCCTCTTCCTCCTCCTCATTTTTCTTCTTCATTATTTAAGAGAGAGAAAATTCCCCCATCTGCTGATTCACTCCCCAGCTGGGGCTAGGCCAAAGCCGGGAAGTCATTCCAGGTCTCCCATGTAGGTGGCAGGAACCCAGTCACTTGAGCCATCACCACTGCCTCCCAGGATCTGCAGTAGCAGGAAGGTGAAAAACAGGAGCCAGAGCTGAGACAAAATCCAGACACTCTGATGTAGGATATAGGCCTCCTGAACACTAGGTAAAATGCCTGCCCCCTTTAAAATGTTTGCTTATTTATTTAAGAGAGAAAAAGAATTCCCATTTGCTGCTTCACTCCCCAAATGCCTGCAATAACTAGGACTGAGCTGTGCTAAATCCAAGAGCCAGGAACTCAATCCAGTTCTCCACACAGGTAGCAGGAAACCAGTTACTGGAGCCATCAGCATTGTCCCCCAGGGCCTACATTAGCAAGAATCTAGAATCAGAAGTCAGAGCCAGAAACCAAACCCAGGTACTCCAGTGTGGGAAGCAGGTGTCTCAACTACTAAGCTAAATGCCTGTTCCAGTCGTGAGATTTCTTTGTCTTTCTAGTTCATCACCTGACCACAGTCTCTGTCTCCCTTTAATCACATGCTCAAAGAATCTCGATTGTCCGCTCCATATATTCCATTCATTCTAAATATCTATATGGTGCAAGATGCTGAAGCTAAAGGAATGAACGAAAGATATGTGGTCCCTCACAGTTTGCTGGGATAAATACTCAGCAAGTGATTACTCAGATAATTAGAACTGTGATCGTGCAGAAGGTGCTGTGAGAACACATCAGTGGGAGACACAGCCTGTACCGAGGGATCAAGGAGGCCCCTCCCCTGACAGGTAAAAACAATAAAGTGGATTTGGCTTGCTCACCTCTATGATTCAAAGGTAAGATTTCATTCTAAGGCCGGCGCCGCGGCTCACTAGGCTAATCCTCCGCCTTGCGGCGCCGGCACACCGGGTTCTAGTCCCAGTCAGGGCGCCGGATTCTGTCCCGGTTGCCCCTCTTCCAGGCCAGCTCTCTGCTGTGGCCAGGGAAGGCAGTGGAGGATGGCCCAAGTGCTTGGGCCCTGCACCCCATGGGAGAACAGGATAAGTACCTGGCTCCTGCCATCGGATCAGCGCGGTGCGCCGGCCGCAGCGCGCTGGCTGCGGCAGCCATTGGAGGGTGAACCAACGGCAAAAGGAAGACCTTTCTCTCTGTCTCTCTCTCTCACTGTCCACTCTGCCTGTTAAAAAAAAAAAAAAAAAAAAATATGTCATTCTAAGCCTGCACCTGTAGCCCAGGTTGAGAACAGTAATCTGCAGAAAGTGGCATTGTGGACAGAGAGCTTCCCTCCTAGCTTCTCAACTACATGGTTTGATTAGAGAGAAAGCTTGAAAAGCAAAACCCATGGCAAGTGAGTAAGTTTTATGAGTAAGCTCACAAAACTATACAGGCCTTGAAATCAGTTCTTGTATTTCTCATGAAGTTATAAAATAAACTAAAGGGCTTTCTTTAGCATAAAAATATAAAAGCAAAGCCTACTTACTGGCATGGTTCTCATGTGCTAAAAGTCGCTCCGTATTAACTTTGTTTCAGGTGGAGCTACAGTGTGAATGTGGTCGAAGAAAAGAGATGGTGATTTGCTCTGAAGCCTCCAGTACTTATCAAAGGTTAGTGCTACTTAAATGTTAACAGTTGATGGATCCAGGCGATGGGTGTGTTTATTGTAGAATATTTGTGACTTCTAAAGGTTGAAAAGTTTATTAAATGATTTTTTTAATCTAGTTTCATGTTTTCGTTTGTTCTTTTGTATAAGATTTATTTGAAAGGCAGAGTGACAGAGAGAGAAGGATCTTCTGTCTACTGGTTCACTCCCCAAATGGCCAAGTGGAGTAGCCAGGACTTGAACCAGCAATTTGATGTGAGATGCCATCCTCGCACACAGCAGCTTTGCCCACTGCACCACAACCTCAGCCTCGGTTTTTTAAAATCTGGTTTCTCTGGCTCAAACGGTGCTGGGGTGAACACCGTGGCACAGTGGGTTAAAGCTGTTGCTTGTGGCACCCTCATCTTACATCAGAGTGCTGGTTCACATCCTAGCTACTCTGCTTCTGGTTCACCTTTCTGCTAATGTGTTCTGGGAGGCAGCAGATGAAACTAATGTGATTGACACCTGCATGGTAGACCCAGATGGAGTTCTTGGTTCCTAGGTTCAGCCTGACCCAGCACTATCTGCTGTTATAGGCATTTGGGGAGTGAACCAGGAGATGGAAGATCTCTGTGTCTGTTTCTTTCTCTCTCTGTCATTCTGCCTTTCAAATAAAGTAAATAAACCTTTAAAAAAAGACTGCTTCGTGCCGGCGCCGCGGCTCAGTAGGCTAATCCTCCACCTAGTGGCGCCGGCACACCGGGTCTTAGTCCCGGTCGGGGCGCCGGATTCTGTCCCGGTTGCCCCTCTTCCAGGCCAGCTCTCTGCTGTGGCCCGGGAGTGCAGTGGAGGATGGCCCAAGTGCTTGGGCCCTGCACCCCATGGGAGACCAGGAGAAGCACCTGGCTCCTGGCTTCGTATCAGCGAGGTGCGCCGGCCGCAGCGCGCCAGCCGTGGCAGCCATTGGAGGGTGAACTAACGGCAAAAGGAAGACCTTTCTCTCTGTCTCTCTCACTATCCACTCTGCCTGTCAAAAAAAAAAAAAAGTGCTTCGTGTATCCTTTCTGCTTTAAATTTCATTTATAAGATAACCTTTTTATTTTTTCCTCTCCCTCTCCTCCTCCTTTTTTCCCTCTCCCTTTCTCCCTCTCCCTTCCTCCCTTCCTCTTTCTCCCTTCCTCCCTCTCCCTCTCCCTCCCTCCCTCTCCCTCCCTCTCCCTTCCTCCCTCTCCCTTCCTTCCTCTCCCTTCCTTCCTCTCCCTTCCTCCCTCTCCCTCTCCCCCTCCCTCTATCTCCCTCCCTCCCTCCCTCCATTGTTCCCCCTTTTAGTCTTATGACGCCTTGACATAAGAAGGGAATATAGCCTGAAGTTGGATGAGTTGCTTTAATATCCCCCTTCTGATTGTGGGTACAGCCTGTGCTACTCCTTCCTGGGTGTGAGAGTTTCCAGTTGTTCTGTGAGGTATCTTTGCAGCCTCCTGAAGTCTGGAAACCTGTGTGATCATACAGGGATCTGCTTACAGCACCAAAGGGGTCAGAGGCTGAATGGTGTGGGCATCTCTGGTGAGACATGGAGCTCTGCCTGGACTGTCAGACTTGAAGTGTGTGCAGACACAGCTGAGCCAGGTTGAAAGCTTCTGAGTGGAGTATTGGCCCGAGAGCTGGTTACCTGATCACTTCCTATGTAGCTGTGTAAAATGTAATTGAGGACATAGCACAGAAACATGTAGGAGTTCCTAATAGATGGGCTTCCAAAGCTGCACCCATTGTCACATGGTAGATGTGCTTTGAAAAAGGTTTTCTGTATCCTTAGTATGGGGAGAGTCTTGTAATTCTCTACTTTTTTCCCTTAAATATTTCAGAATAGCTGCTATTTCTATGGCCTCTAAAATAACAGACATGCAGCTTGGAGATTCAGTAGAAATCAGCAAGCTTATTACCAAGAAGGAAATTCAACAAGCCAGGTAATTTTTAAAATATGTGTAAATGCCTGCTTCTCCAATTAGACTTAATTTTTAGAGGGCAGAAATGATCTTAATCCTCCACACTGGAGCCTCATACACACAGCAGATATTCAGCAGATATTTGATGTTAAGAAATCATACCTGTTCCAACCCCAGTGATTCTAGCTCAGTATATAGCTAAGGCCAGAGGAAACTTTTCCAGGCCTCACTCCAGCTATGTGGAGTAGCCAGTGTGTCTAGCCCACCCCACCCCTCCCCGTAGAACAGAGAAACAGAATGGTGGCTGTGTCCTCAAAGGGAGCTGTGGCTGTCAGAGGGCCACTTGGAGTGTTCTCCAGGCTGAGCATCCAGGAAACAGCCTGAGGTCTACCTAGAGGACTCCTAGACCCCTCTAACCCAGAGACCTGCCCACCTGTCCTTGAAAAGGGCCTCCTCTCCCAGCCGTCCCTGAGCAGATGAAATAGCCTGGGTTGGGGGGTTGCTAATGAAACCTGAACCCTGGTGGCTTCACAGGCCACTTCCTGGCCCGAAGGGAAGTCCCTTGGCAAGAGTCTTAACTTTCCTGCTGGGTAGGAGCTGCAAAGCCTGTGCCCTGACTTGTTTTTTTCTTTCTTTCTTTTTTTTTTTTTTTTTTCCATTTATTTATCAAGGCTGGAGTGTGATGAGGAGTGTTCAGCCTTGGAAAGAAAAAAGTAAGTAGTTTCAGCTACTTGTTGTCTACTTGTCTTTGAGCCCTGTGAGGTAGTGGGAGGGAGCAGCTCTGTAAGCATTCACTCAGCACCTACTCTGAGTCTTACTGTGTCAGACAGCAAGAGAAACATGATGGGCGGGAGTTGAATTGTCCAAGGATTAACCACTCAGGTAATTGCAGGAACATGAGCTGTGTGGTTTTGAGGCATGATGTAAACATCACCTGCCACAACACACTTAATACAGTGACCGCCAACTTCCTGATTCCAACATAGATAAAAAGGTTTTAAAAATGATTAGTGGGCCAGCGCCACGGCTCACTAGGCTAATCCTCTGCCTGCGGCGCTGGCACACCGGGTTCTAGTCCCAGTCGGGGCACCGGATTCTGTCCCGGTTGCCCCTCTTCCAGGCCAGCTCTCTGCTGTGGCCCGGGAGTGCAGTGGAGGATGGCCCAAGTGCTTGGGCCCTGCACCCGCATGGGAGACCAGGAGAAGCACCTGGCTCCTGCCTTCAGATCAGCGCAATGCGCACACCGGCTGCGGTGGCCATTGGAGGGTGAACTAACGGCAAAAGGAAGACCTTTCTCTCTGTCTGTCTCTCTCTCTCACTATCCACTCTGCCTGTCAAAAAAAGAAAAGAAAAGAAAAAATGCTTGGTGAATTTTTGTACTAAAGTACAGTGATACAAAAGTGTACAGATCAGTGAAACATCAAGTGAATATAGCAGTGTGACCAGCAACTAGGTCAAGAACTAAGAAATTACCTGAGCTTTTTTTTTTAAGGTATATTTATTTATTTGAAAGAATCAGAGAGACAGAGAAATCTTCCATCCACTGTTTCATTCCCCAAATGACCTCAACGACTGGGACTGGGTCAGGCTGAAACCAGGAGCTTCCTCCAGGTCTTGGATGTGGGTGCAGGGGTCCAGGGACTTGGGCCATCTTCCACTGCCCTCCCAGACACATTAGCAGAGAGCAAGATCGAAGTGGAGTGGAATTAAGATATAATTTGATCATTCTGCTATTGATAGACAATGAGTGTTGTCAATATTTGGCTGTTATAAGTAGTGGATGATATTAAGAACGTTGCTTTGCTTGCTTTGCTGTCGATATGTACTCAGTTCATTGGATACAAATTTAGAAGAATTGCTGATCAATGGGCTTTGCATATGTTCAGCTTTAGTAGATTCTACCAGACAATAACCTAATTGATTGTACCAAGTTACGCTCCTTCTAGTGGGGTGGTGTCCCTGCTGCTACACGTTTTCAGTACGTGGAGTTGTTCTAATGTAAGTCATTCTTATGGTCTGTGGCAAGATGTATATCTCATTTTACCTGGAAGTTTGAACAGTTTTCAACAGTGTTTCTTCAGTGTCTAAATGTGTAGAAAGTAACATAATAACTAATAATGCTACCCAGATTTCCCTTAGTTTGACTCCAGTGACAACTTATTAGTGTTATGCAAACCTCCTTCCCTTTCAGAACCAGTTAGTGTTCTCAGCCATAAAATGTGAAGTAGAGACTTGGGTATTCAGAAATGTAGTAAATACATAACAGTCACCCAAACATGGAGGTGCACCTTTATGTGTTTGAGAGAGACAATATTGGAAAGTAGATGGAGCTCTAGAGTCATATTGCCTAGATTTGAATACAAGCTCTACAAATCATTTACCTGTGTCACCTTGGGCGAGACACATATTCTTAAAAACCTGTAGGGGCCAGCATCCCATATGGGTGCTGGTTCGAGTCCCATCTGCCTCGCTTCCCAGCTAGTCCCCTGCTAATGCACCTGGGAAAGCAGTGAAAGATGGCCTGAGTGCTGGGGCCGCTGCTACCCGCATGGCAGACCCAGATAGAATTCCAGGCTCCTGGCTTCGGCCTGGCACAGCCCTGGCCATTGAGAGCATTTGGGGAGTGAACCAGTGTATGCAAAAAGTTCTCTCTCTTCTCCATCTTTTCCTCTTTCTCTGTATTGCTCTGCCTTTCACATAAACAACTGAACCTTTTATAAAAATAAAAATTTTTTTTTAAAAATTAACTTACCCTCATAGCCAAGTGTTGTGAGATACTGAGAGACTCATGGTCCCAGTTAGGACCCAAAACTGGTAGTTATGGAAACCATTTAGGCTGCATTGATCCAGTCTAATGTTCATACATTTGAGTCCACAGCTGGCACCATTTTCCAGGGAAATAATTTTAAAAGCTTTTTGCACAGAGATGTTGTCACTTATAATATTGAGGAACTGGGGAACTATTTAAAGAAACCTAAGTGGGGGAGTATTTAAGTAAATTACGTGATAGAAAATTATGAAATAGTAAAAGTAATAGTGATATGAGAAATTCTAATTACACACTGGTGAGGGGATAAAGATGTAAAGTTTTATATATAATTGCAACTACCTAAAATTACAGGAGAAAAGTCTGAAAAGGAGTATATAAAATAAAAAGCTTTTTAATATTGCTTTGTCTGTTTGGTATACCTAACATCTAAATTAAGCCTCAGAGAAAGTCAGCCTCATTGACCACTCCCAGTGACATTTCACACCCCCCATCTTGCCCTCCCCACCTAATCCATGTCCCCAGTGTTGAGCCTGTGGCTTACTCAGACCCATTTAAACCTGTTTTGTTTATTTCCTTATATGAAAACAATAGTACATCTTGTCCCAAGCTGTTGTTATTCTATCTTTAATATCTAGTTTGCCGAAATGAGATAATTAATATATAAAAACTTAGGACATGGTAGGTACTCTGTGTTACTGTAATAGTTCCTTCTTTTCACTTACTATGGTGTCAGTCAGCTTCAGCCAAAAAATATTAAATGGAAAATTCCAGAAAACACTAACTCATCAGTTTTACATTACATGCCATTCTGAGTAGCATGCTGAAATCTCACACTGTCCCCACCTGGCATATGAATCATTCCTTTGTCTTGCAAATCCATGCTGTCTTCTGACACCACCCACCCATTAATCGCTTAGTAGCTGTCTGGGGTACCACATTGTGGCGATATTGCAGTCCTTGTGTTCAGTACCCTGGAGCACAAGCACAGTGATACATTTCAGGCATGCCAAAGAGAAGCCATAAAGTGCTTCCTGTAAATGAAAAGGTAAAAATTCTCCACTTAATAAGGAATAGAAAATTGTATGCTGAGATTGCTAATATCTATGACACATTATTTTGCCTAATTAATAAATTAAGCTATTATCATAGGTATGTTTTTATTGGGAAAAACAGTATATGCAAAGAGTTTTCAAAAAGTTTATGTAAGGGGGCCAGCACTGTGGTGTAGTAGGCTATACCCATGTGGGCACCTGTTTGAGTCCTGGCTGCTCCTCTTCCGATCCAACTCTCTGCTAATGGCCTGGGGAAAGCAGTGGAAGATGACCCAGTGCTTGGGCCCCTGCACCCACATGGGAGACCCAGAAGAAGCTCCGGGCTCCTGGCTTCGGATTGACCCAACTCTAGCATTGGAGCCATTTGGGAAGTGAACCAGCAGATGGAAGGTGTTTCTTTCTCTCTGTCTCCCTGTCTGTAACTCTACCTCTCAAATAAAATATTAAAAAAAAAAAAAGTTTATGGAAAATGCATGTTATCTTTTCATTCTATTTTCTACAAACGTTTTAGAGATTTATTTATTTGAAAGGAATAGCGACTGAGAAATCTTCCATCCACTGGTTCACTTCAAAATGGCCATAACAGCAGGGCCGGGCCAAAGTTAAGAGCTCCATCCTGGTCTCTCACATGGGTAGCAGAAACCCAAATGCATGGACCATCTTCTGCCTTCCCAGGAACATAAGGGAGCTGGGTCAGAAGCAGAGTAACCAGGAATTGAACCAGCACTCCTGGAATGCCAGTGTCACGAATAGCAGCTTAACTCACTGCACCACAACAGCAGCTCCAGTCCATGAACCTCTGAAGTACCTTCTAGGTTTCAGTATCTCCGTGGTTTGGAGGCATCCCCTGGGCATCTTGGAACACTCCTGGAGAACTGCAGTGTGAGATAATTTCCCTCCCACTGTCTGCCTTTTATTTGTGTTCTTCTCTCACTTTCAGGAGACTGGCAGAGGCATTTGATATCAGTGAAGATTCTGATCCTTTCAATGTCCGTTCTTCAGCATCAATATTTAGCGATAGTTTGAAAGATGATGCCAGGTATGTAACTTAGCTACTTTCTTGATTGTAGCTCATTGGAGTATTTGGTCTTCTAAGATGTAGTAAGCAGTATGTACTCCTTCTATGATTAGGCCAGTTGAAGTAAGAGATGTGATATTTAATAAAAACCTTCCTAAATTCTCAAAACTTTCAGTTCTTGAAGAACTGAACTTGTTTGGCAGGCTTGCAGGCATAGTGCTGGCTGTTTCTCCATTATTCTCTTCTCATATTTTTCCCTTCCTTTGTTCCATCAAAGCTAACCTTAAGTTATCTGACAGTTCCTGACCTCTGCAGTTTTCCTGCCAGCCCTGTCCATTGTTTGCCCTTCATGGTCAAAAGGTTGGTGAGAGGGGTTTCTGAAAGGGCAGGGACGGATTAAATTAATTGCGGTGCTTTCTCGTTTCAGGAAGGACTTAAAGTTTGTCAGTGACGTGGAGAAAGAAATGGAAGCACTTGTGGAGGCTGTGAATAAGGTTGAAGTCAAAACATCCAAATGGACATTTTTCTGAGACCAGTTTGATTTAAAAAAAAAATCAGTCCCAGAAGTAGTATATTGTCAGCCTAGAGTAGTTATAGGGAAAGTCACAACTTCCTTGAGGATCCTGATCTTTCCCAAAAGCCCAGCTGTTGTGATATCCATAGAAGCGTTTCATAGTTCAATCGCTGCGGCAAAAATGTCTGCAGTTAGATCAAGTGTAAATAAAAATCCAAGCTCAGTGTCTTAAGAATGGGTGGCGAGGAGTTTGTTCCTGATAGGTGAGTGATGGGAGACATATGAGGCCCTCAGATCTCTGAAGAGCACACTGGTTCTTCACCGCCCCGGTGGCAGGACAGGACGAGAAAAGGCTGTAGGAGAGGTGAACAGTTATGTGATCGAAGCTGAAGGGCAGTGGGCTAGACTTGCAGCAGAGGTGCTGCCGTGTCCTGGAGCAGCCAGGGGCGCCACAGAGGTAGCATCAAGCGGAAGAGACCATAATTTAGTCAGAAGCGGCCTGCACTGCCTGGCTTCATTTCTCATCAGTGGGACTGGTGAGAAGGATGAGGGGCTGCTTTTGCATCCTCTGATGAGGACGGTTTTCCTTCCTGCCACCTTCCTCACCCCTCTCAGCCCCTTCCCTTCCTCCCTTCTGTTCCTCCTTCCCAACAGGATACCAAATGGAGGAGAAAGCGTAAAGCAGTGTTCCTCCCCTGACAAGGAGACTTGCAGCAAATGGCATTTCTTTGCCTGTCTGTCTATCTGCATATGCATGATTTTTAGCATAGATAATACTTTTATAGGGAAACTCTGCAGTTTTGGGACGTGTCAGGAGAAATTATTACGACCCTGTCCACCTAAATCCCTGTTCACTTGCCCTTTGTCCCCTAACTCTGTCCAGCTGTCATTGTTGTGGTTTACAGAGTAGAAGGAAGGTGAAAGCAGTGCCATAGCTCCCACCCCACAAGACCCCTCTGGGCTTGCTGGGCAGTTAGTGAAATGCTATTTGCTGTGAGCCTCTCAGCTCCAGCCACCTCTTAACTGACCCGGGTTGTTCTTGTGGTAAGGGGAGTAGTAAGCATTTGCTGTTTTCAGTGTGATGTTACCAAGCAGTCGTCTTTCCCTCACTACAGGGAAAGAACAGCAAGAGAAGCCACTGCTTCCCTCCCATGAACAGAGACCACCGCCGCATCATCCATGATCTGGCCCAAGTGTACGGCCTGGAGAGTGTGAGCTACGACAGCGAACCAAAGCGCAACGTCGTGGTCACTGCCGTCAGGTGAGCTTGTTTTGCTGTCGCAGGAGGAACTCTGAGAAGGGCACACTGGACTCAGGAAGCAGGATCTGTCAGTATCTGCTCTCCTTCCTTCCTCTCTCTCTTTTGGACAAACAGAAGGAAAATCTGCGTCTGGGACAGCCATTCCTAGACAACATAGAGGTCAAAGCCAGAGAGCAAAGGCCGTGCCTCCTGTCCCAGGGCCAAAGGCCTCATGGCAGATGCTGGAGATGGCGCTTCCACAGGCAGGGGGAACAGAGGCTGGGAGGACTGAGCAGAGTGCCTGCCCGTCACCTCTGTCCCATTTCTCTGCTTGTCTCCTGTTCCTCCCTCTTCCCGCTCCCCGGCTGTCCTGGCATGATGAAGACAGAAACAATGCTGCCCTCTGACTCAGGGCACCCCTTGTGAACAGTGTATTGCCATCAGGAAACTGAAGCAGTCGCGTTAAGTCAGGAGGACGGAGGACCCAAGATCACTGTCAGAACCTCCGAGAGTAGGAGCTTCTCATTTGAGGAACTCACAAGTGTGACTTTAGAGAAAGCAGGCCACAGGCCCCCCAGAGGGGGGGAGGAGGGACAGGGTTACCTGGAGGTTAGCACATCTGAGAAAAGGTGGGTCACATCAGAGGGCTCAGGAGCGTCGTGGGCCAGTGCCACAGTCATGGCCAGTGTCTGGCTGTCAGCCTACTTCCACAAATGAATCTTGGCTTTCAATCCCCTGTGTTTTTGACCTCTGTCAGAGGGAAGTCTGTTTGTCCTCCTACCACACTGACGGGAGTCCTGGAAAGAGAAACACAGACACGGCCGCCACCACCGATTGCTCATCACAGACATCAGACAGACAGGTAAGGGTACAGCAGCTCTTCCCCAAGGCACCTGTCTCTTCTCTGAACAGAGAAGCCAGCAAAGGGTGGCCTCAGGCCTGGCATTGGGGAATTGTGTTCAAATGTCAGGTTTGGTTGAGCTGCTAGATACATTTGTTCAAGCTGGGGGAGTCCTAAGTTTCATGTTTGTCGTGCCCAGTTCCCCCCAGGGGACACAGACCCTGCACATGACTTCCACAGTGTTAATGGTGGCGTGTGGATTCTGTCTGTGGTTCCACGTGGGTCTCAGACTGGAATATCTCAGAGTTACTCTGAACATGGAAGTGGGATTGGGGTAGGGCTGTCAGTGAAGGGCTCTGGTGGGGGGACTTTAATGTTTTGCTCTACTTATGTATGGTGTGAATCATCTTTACAACAAAGCATATTTGTGATGTAAAGAGAAAAGAAACCAAGTTGGCAAGCAGCAAGTCTGCCCTGTGTTCTCAGGAGCAGGCAAGGACCACCCCTGCCCTTCCTTTCCTCCCTCTTGTCAGGAGGGGAGCACTGCTGACCCTCCATGAGCAAAGCAGCTCTGAAACCAGAGGGCCCCCTGCTCCTGTTCTGGCTTCCATACTGAAGACCTGACAGCGCCTCCTCCGTGCATCTTGCACAAAATCTCTAGAAGGGTGACTGTGGCAATGTCCAAGGTCACCAGGAGTGTCCTAGCAAGCAGTTGGTGTTTCCGTGGGACTAGACGAGACAGCCAGGTGTTGCCCATTGAGCACAGCCTTAGCCAAGGGCATCTGAAGCCCTGTGGTTCCCCGGGACCAGCTCTTCGTGACCCGGGAAAGCAGGCATCCTGGATCCCGGCCAGCACCATCTGCGGATCCCATGGGCAATGGTTTTAGAAACATGAGGCTGCCACAGTCGTGTCCAGCACCACTTAGACGTAACCACGTGGAGTCGCTGGCCTGCTTATGCCATGCCATCTTTTTTCCTTTGCTTGGTTTTTTATGTAAAAGCTCAGTAAGGAAAATTTTACAGTTGAGACAATATAGTATTTTGTTTTGTTCTGTTTTGTTTATTTGAGAGAAAGAGAATGCTGCTATCCACTGGTTCATTCCCCAAATGCCCACAGCAGCCAAGGCTGGGCCAGGCTAAAGCCAGGAACCTAGAACTCATTCCAGTCTCCTGCATGCATGGGTGGGACCCAACCACCTGAGCTGTAACCTGCTGTCTCCCAGGGTGCACGTTAGCAGGAGGCTGGCAAGGAGAGCAGCGCCAGAACTTGGACTCAGGCACTCTGATGTAGGAAATGTGTATCCCAAGCAGCATCTTAACTTCTGTGCCAAATGCCTGCCCCAGAGAATATCATAAATATGAGCATCCTTCAAAAATTTTGAGGAAAATTGAATTCAAAGATACTTGTTTTGGTGCAAAAATGTTTTGAAATCCATGTGTAGTTTTTTCGCAATCTGCACTTCCATGAATGTTTTGAAGACCCCCTCAGACAAGGAATGCCTGTGTGCCTAGTGCCAGACTTAGTAGTTTGCCTTGCTGTCTTATCAGAGCTTCACAGATGGGAAATCACCTGACTTAACTTTCTTAAGGCCTCTGTTTTCCCACAGAAGAAAAAGTTGATCGTTCTTTGTTTGCATTACAGGAATCCTGGTAGCAGTAATCTGCAGAAAATAGCCAAGGAGCCGGTCATTGACTACTTTGATGTCCAGGACTGAGAAGATCAAGATGCCCTTAGATCACAGAACGATGAGGTGTCATGGACACTTCTGCCAGCAGACCCACCCTGCTTGTCCACACTGTCGGGTGGACTCCCGGCCTCACGTGCTGTGTTGTTCCGACACATCCAGAGCATGAGTGTGTCAGAAACCCTCTCATCTGGCCCTGTCCATAGGAAGTACTTCAGTGTGACCAGATCTCTTAACTGTATGGTCACTAGCATTTGAAGAGGCTCCTCACACTGTCACTGTGATTACTCTGGGGGCTGGGGGAATATTGGACTTAATTTGGACAAACCAGAATTTTAGCCTGAATTCAGCTTTATGCCACTTAGTCATTGTCTCAGTTGTCCCAGTTCTCCGTCCTCCTGAAAATGCTTGGAACGTCACATGGACCTTGTTTTCTTTATCCAAACTGATCCCAGTCTTTGGAAAGACATAGTTAACTTCTCAATTTGAAATGCTCAGCACTGAATTGGTACACATTTTGTCTCAAACCAATCACCTAAGTCTTTTGCCACGGATGCTCAAAAGTAAATCTGATGGAATTTATTTTACAATTTCCACTTCTGTCTGTTGTAGACCTAGGAGAGCAGTCAGATTCCTTTACAGAATTCCATTTTCTTAAATCCCTGGTGTTCCGAGCCTGTCCAGTGACGGTTGAGCCATCCCTATAATGGCAGATGACATAGAGCAGGCACTTCCTTCTGTCAGGTCCACACTGGCTTCTCTGAACTGACCAGTGTAGCCCTAACTCCTCCCTGGTTGATAAAGAGTCTCCCATAACATACACAGCTGTCCTGTGTTGCTTTTTCCTAGGCCTTCAGCAGCCATACTGACTCTTCTTGCCCCTGAGCTCTGGGCTTCTCTTTGAATATTCAAAGAAAGGTATGGACAAGTCCAGATGCCCACTGGTGGCATTCTTCAAGCTCCTTTATGGCAGCTGCGTCAACAGTTAAATTAGTTTGGCCCTCATTGCAGTGGCCCCTTCTGGAATGGAGACCAGACTTCCAGCAACTGCCTTCTGCTCCACAACAAGCCAGGAGTCCCAGATCAGCAGCAAGGGAGTTAATTTTCATAGGAAGAGCCAGGCTGCCCCTGGACCCACACCCAGAAAGGCATCAGGTCCAGCAGCAGAAACAGGCGACTGAGACAAGTGACAGGAAGCAAAGGCAAACCCGTTTCCACAGCATCGGTGGCACACGCGCAACAGGAAGCCCTGAGCATGTGTGATGTCTTCCAAGCAGGGCCTGGAGGGTGAGCTGTGTGAGAGCATCTCGGAGTCAGCAGGAGGCAGGAGAGCTGATCCCAGGTTCTAGGTCTGCAGCAACACGGCCCCCAGTGGGGTGGGCAGAGCTACCCCCAGCACACGCACCGGCTTTCTGGGAGGAGGGAGTGAGTGGCATACCTGGTGGTGCCTGGTCTGCCATAGATGCTGAAGGTCCCCAAGAAGGATGCTTGGAATCCGGGAAGCATGCGAGCACCCTTCTCCATCCTGCTGGCCAGCTAACAGGTTGGGGACACTCAGCAGGCCTCTTGTGTTGTGTGTCCACATGTGCACCCTGGGCCAGCCTGGCTCTAGGGCTGTGCGAAGCAGATGTGGCTGCACAACAAGTGCTCCTTCCCAGATGTCCCTGGGTCCGTCTCAGGTCGTTCATCTCTTCCCAAAAGCTGAAGAGCCTAAGGGGTGCTTTGTGCCACAGTGGTAGGGCTGCGTTAGCGTTCGTGGTTGAGGTAGGGAAATGGGAAGAAGCACTTGAGCTGAGGCTCCGCACAGTGGGCTGCCGTTGGGAAAAGGAAAGAGCTTGCCAGGGGAAGGCTGGCCGGTATGAGATGTGCTGGGGCTGTGTTTTATGGTTGGGCCCGAGGGTTAGTCGGCCAGGGTGAGCAGGTAACTCAAGGACACTGAAGTGACCAGGCTGAAAAGGTAGACGAGGGTCAGCTCATCAGCACAGGGAGCCCCTGATAGATCCCTTAGAGTGGCGTGGCCAGCGGAAGTCGGTGCGTTCTCTGTAAAGGCCAGGAGAGCAAATCTTTAGACTTCACGAGATTTAACACTTCATTATGGACATTAAAATGAGAATTTAAGTCTTAAGAGTTTTTCCATGACACAAAATACTCTTGACTTCTTTTCCACCTATTTTAAAAAACTGTTCTTAGTTCGTGAGTTGTTGGTAAACAAGCCGCAGGCTGGATTTGGCCCTGGGTCCTAGTTGTTCACCTGCTTGGGAGCAGTCACCAGCGGAAGTGTGTTATGGGGTTGGAGGCTAGTTGGAGGGCAGAGGATGGGGCTGGCGTGGTGGGTGCTGCAGAGAGGGAAGGATTCGAGTTGGGAGGCAGGATGGGAAGCCAGGGCTTAGCCGAGGAGCCCAGGCCCTGCAGGTGAAGGCTGCTGCTCACCTTTGGCGTTAGCGCTGGATGAGATTTTACATGAGCATGAACATAGCAGGGGGTTCTCATGGGCCTGAACATTCCAGAGACCAAGGTTTAATCTGGAATTCTCCCTGGCCCATCTGGCAGGATCAGCAATGGGGGGAGATGAAAGCAGGCTCTCCCAGTTGCAGGGTCTGTGCCAGACAGCCCTCAGCCCTGGCCTGGCTTCCTGACTGCAAGCCTGGAGAACTTGTCCCTAAGGGGAGCAGGGAGCATGCCGGCATGGGGTCGGGGAGGCCCCTGGCCAGGCCAGCTCCTCACGTAATGCCCCCTTGCACACCCTGGGACGGTCTTGCCTCCCACTCTGCCCATGTAGCCTCAGTACCAGTGCCTCGGGTACCAACGCCCTTGACTTTTGGAACTCAGGGATCCCAGGGAACTCTAGGCTTGTCTGGCCCCCCAGCAGCCAGGCTCCCTGGCTCACACAGTGAGTGCCACACCAAGACTGGAAACCAGGCCTTGAGTTTCCCCTACCTGGAGGGTGCTGAGTCCCCGGGAAAATGTACGCTCTTCCCCCCTCTCTGGCTTCCCCAAACAAGGGGCTTGCAAGTCCTTCCCAGTCACCCCTGGCTGAGGGAAGTCACTCTTCGCAACACACGGCTTGCTGGGAGACAGGCCAGGGACCCCAGCTGAAGCACTAAGGTGTCTGTTTCGCTGCCTCAGCTCACTGTCTCTTGGCAATTTGCAGTGGGCTTCTGTTCGGGTATCAGCTCCTGCACACATGCTGCCCAGCGCCATTGTGCAAGTAACGGGTAGAGGTCAGGGAGTCTCCTGGTGTCCAACAGCAGCTGCACAGTCAGGCCTCTGGGGCCCAGAAAGCTATTGGGGGAGCAGAGAGGAAACAGCACCCCACCTTGCACTGCCCTCACCTGCTTTAGAGCCTGACAGCAGTGAGGAGATGCTCACCTGCCCTGGCAGTTGGAGGTGAGCACTTCGTGTGCAGCAAGTGCTGTGCACATCCCTCTGCTCCTCGAGCCCCTGAGTGTGGATTCTCCCCTCAGCTTAGCCCTGGGGAAGTGAAGGTGGGAGGTGTTAGGTCACTCAGTGCACAGCTGGGGATCTGAAGTTCCTGCAAGGTCTGATCATGTCCTCACCACTACTCAGGCAGAGCGGGGCAGCACCTACAGCTGGACTTGCAGTCCCTAAGGCAAGGAGGCCGTGCAGGCGAGGACAAGTCCCCATGCAGGAAATACCTGTAATCTTCCAGAAGATGGGCTTTTCCTACAGTGGCCACTAGGGGACAGTGTGTGTCCCCTAAACCAAGAGCCTGGGAGCGGGGTGTGCTTTTTTTTTTAACTCTGTAAAGCTTTTTCTTTGAATATTTTAAACTTGAACACTTTTTAAACATTTTAAAAATTGTTTTAATATTTATGTATTTATTTGAAAGAGTTACAAAGAGGGAAAGACAGATCTTCCATCTGCTGGTTCACTTCCAAGTGGGCCGGGCTGAACCACATCTGGGTCTCCCATGTGGGTGCAGGGCCCAAGCACTTGGGCCATCCTTCACTGCCTTCCCAGGCCACAGCAGAGAGCTGGACTGGAAGAGGAGCAGCAGAGATGAGCCGGCACTCACGGGCTGCCAGCGCTGTGGGCAGAGGCCTAGCCCGCTGTGCCACACTGCTGACCCCTGCTCTCGGAAACTTTATATAGAAGAGGTGGTAAATAATATTTTTAAACTTTGTCAAATGTTCTTGCTTAAGTACTATTTTCTCTACTTGCTGATCTGCACCATGTGTGGGGGGGTGCAGGTTGGTGGTTGGATTTGAAGCAAGCAGATACATGAAGGCAGAAGGACCAGCATTGCAAAGGCCCTGCAGTGGAAACACTCCAGGCACCGTGAAGGAACAGCAAGGCCATCAAGACTAGGGAAGCAAAGCAGGAGAGGGCAGCAGGGGTCCGGGAAGCTGGCGGTGTCAGGCCGTTGGGAGGGTGATGAGACTGCTGAGCCGCCTCATCACCGTGGCCCAGGACGGGGCTGCCCTGGCCCCTGCTCAGGAATGAATCTATTTCCAAAGAATGAGCACAGCTCCTCCGGGCAAGGTGAACGGAATCTGGGGTTATGCACAGGAAGACCTGGCTCTCCGTTCCTGAGAAGAATCAACCTTTAAAGGGCAGAATCAATGTCGTTCTCAGTAGGGAGCTCCTTTTCTCGCCAGGAGTCTGGATGATGCCTTTAAACTAAGGAGCCAGACTTAGATAAAGTAGACACATTTTGGATGGAGGGAGGCAGCTTTGTTTAGACGGAAGCTGTGAATCAGCCAGGCCATCTTAGACTGTGACAAGAATCGTGCCAGAATTTGAAAGTGATGGCTTTTTTCCACATTGATTTGAAGAAATACAAACTCCCAGAGTACCCAAGAGTCCTTTCTGATTTCCAGGAGAAAGCATCAAGTGCAAACTTGAAGTCTATGAAAAGAATGACTAATGTGCAGGTGTTTCCTGATTTATTTCAAGTTGTACCCCCCTTCCTCTACAACATCAGAAAATAAAAGATAACTTTCATTGACTTCAGGTCTATGGATTTTCAAAAATTAGTAAGATCTCCCTTAAAACACTATTGATTTGAAAGGAAGAGATCTTATATCTGCTGGTTCACTGCCAAATAGCAAGACAAGACGGTCCAGGCTGAAGCCAGAGCCAGGAATTCCATCTGGGTCTCCCACATACCCATGCAGAGACCCATGCACGTGGACCATCTTCATTGGCTTCCCAGGCATATTAGCAGGGAACTGGTTGAGCAGCAGAGCCGCCCAGATTTGAACTGGCCCTACGATATGGGACGCCCGTGTTGCAAGTAGTGGCTTAGCTGGTGCGCCACGACACTGGCCCCATCTACCTCATTTTCTAAAAAGGTCATTACAGCTGCTGTACTGAAACCACACCATAGGGCTGAAGGAGAGCAAGAGTAGTCAAGAGATCAGTCAGAAGATCCCTGTCATACACCCAGGCACCAGCGGCTTAGACCATGGTAATAGGGGGTGGTGAGACATGGTTGAATTCTAGATAAGTGTTGCAGATAATACCTCTAGGATTTGCTGACAGCTGGGATGCGGGCTGTGTGAGAAGTCAGGGACGACTCAAATTTGGGGCAGGAGCAGCTGCAAGATTGCACTTGCCATTTATTGAAATAGGAAAGAGTGGGAAGAGCAGGCTTGGATGAAAATCTGTCTCGTAGGCGGCCATCCATGGGATCCGACGTCTGGAGACAGGACTGGGCTGGAGATCTAACCCGGGGAGCTGCTGGCATATCACGGCATTTAAAGGCTGGTGAGATCATGCCGGGAGGGCGAGAGAAGAGGTCTGGGGACTGCGCCCTGCGCCCTCCATTGCTGAGAGAACTGGAGCTGAGCACAGGAC